ACTTTTCAAAGTAATGAGATATATATGTGCATATATATATCTGTACATATGTAGGTGGTATTCTGGAATTCCGTGTCTTACCCCGCAGAGTTCTCATTATACAATGGAAACCACCTGGTCCAGTGACTGCGAGCAAACTCTGACTTCAATTGATATTTCGACCAGGAGATCTCCTTTGGCAATTTCAAGTGCAATTTCATCTTCTATTGTCTTTCCAAGACTCTGTGCCCACTGTTTTAGTCCGAGTCGTCGGAATAAGAACACCCCCACCGCCTTTTTAAGGCTTATTCTCGCTTTCCATCGCTTTGTGTCGGAGCCTTCCCCATGATTGCGATCCACGAAATGGGGGACAATAATAGTGTGTACAGCAAGGCGGGGTCTGATGCACACCATCGCCGAGGATATCAGGCGTGTGATCCATGTCGCAAACGCAAGGTCAAGTGTGATCTAGGAAGTATGGACTCCCATTCCTTTTCATTATTCTGCGGTCGGACTGATCACAAAGAAAATAGGTGTCGATAATCCTCGCCCCCCACCCTGTGTTCGATGTCGTCGCGAAAGTAAACGATGTGAATTTTCAGCAACCCGTCGAAAGCGCAAGACCTCCGATGCCGAGGAAGATGAATTGGAGGCAGCGGCAATCCTCCATCGCGACAAGCGAATGATGATTGGGGAGGTGGCCAAGAATGAAAGTCAAGGTCCGCCATTTGCGCCTTCCGATACACCTCAGTTCGACCGTGAAGCCGTGCTTGCCCAACAGAGATGGTCCGAGGCACCTTCTGCACCTTCTGCACCTCATGCACTTCATGCGCCTCATGCGCCTCCAGCACCTCCAACTCCGCGTTACATGCCCAGTGTGCCAACAACACGACCTCCTATATATCCTGGCATCGAACGGCCTGCACCACCTAGCTATGGAGGGCCTCCGATGATGAATCGCACAGCAGTGGAGTTGCTGTCACCGGCAATTACAAACACCCACGACGCTTTGCATCTTCTCTCTGAAGCTGCAGGCAGGACAGAGGATCTCAACCGCCAGAGCCTCGAAAATCGGCTTGCTGCACGACAGTCTGTCTCGTCCTTTACCTCGGGGCCTTCACCTCTACCACAAGGTAGTTCACCTCGAAGTTTGGGTGGGTCCTTTGTGCGGACACCTCGATCAGGAATGTCTATGGGCGGGTCAACATACTACCCGGGTGGTGCTTCAGGGCCGGTAGATCCCCAGATCGCGGATACCGGCCCCCCAAGGGAAAGCCCAGTCAACAACCCTCCCCCAGAGCCGACATATCTGGACGCAATCCGAGCCTGGTCACGATTGCGATTCGTCCGTGCCGGTTGGCTTACAGTGGAGGAAGGCATGGACTATGTGGCGTATTACTATGAACACCTCGCGCCGATGAGCCCTGTTGTAATCCCTGATTTTTCTCATCCTTCTACACACCGCACGTTGCTTACCGATGAGCCAGTGCTGGCGGTTACAATTCTCACTATCGCGTCTAGGCATCTGAAACCCAAGGGTGAGGGTGCCAATACGCGGGCATTCTATATCCATGATCGTCTCTGGGCATATCTACGCAGCATGGTAGAACGCCTATTCTGGGGCCAAGAGAAATTTGACGCTGGGACCTCGGGCATTGGCCGATCTCGATCACTTGATTCGAGTTCATCAACGTCAGGCAAAGGTAGTATGGGTGGGCAATTGAGGTCGCTGGGCACTATAGAAGCTATGCTACTTCTTACAGAGTGGCACCCAAGAAACCTGCACTTTCCACCGGGCGACGATGAAAATTCTCTTTTGGATACAGATCCCCAGATATACAGTCAGGCCGACCACCAGGACAACGACGGCGAGAATAATAGCAAAGGCTCAGAGGGAAGGGTCGCGTTTCAAAAATGGCTGGAACCGGCCTGGCGATCGGACCGGATGTCATGGATGCTATTGAGTACGGCGCAAGCTCTGGCTTTTGAACTTGGTGTCTTCGATCCGAAGGGAGATGCCAAGGCGGCCAATGAGTCGCTATCCGAGCAAACACGGAAACGTCGACTACGGCGTTTGATTCTTGTGTTTATTACGCATAGTAGTGGACGTCTTGGGATCCCTTCTATGCTCCCATTGCCTCAATGGGGGCAGGATATCACGCCGACATCCGCTGATGCAAATGATGCTGATGCCAATCTTGATCGGATGCAGGATTGCTGGATTAGCATTTCGAAAATTGTCTATCAAGCCAATCATTTGCTGTTTGCATCTAGTGACCAGACGATGGATTTGATCAGGAGTGGGAGATATCGTGAGCAGATCGACCGCTTCCAACCTTATCTACGAGATTTCCAGCAGCAGCTGGAAAGTGTGACTCGTAAGTCAATTGGCCGTTGATTATGGATAAGAAAGCTAACAGAAAGAAGTCTCACCAGCAATGCGGAGCGTTTTGCTGATTGAGCTCGAGTACACCCGTAAGTTGACACAGCCTGATTCGTTGAAGGATAACAGCTAACATGGATGCAGGTCTCTATATAAATTCCCTCGCTCTACAAGCGGTCGTTGATCGATGGACTACCATGTCCAACGAATCCGCCCAGACTCATAACCAGACCCAGACCCAGAATGGCCAACCAGGATCGGGGCCGTCTAACAGCAGCAGCAGCTGGTTCCAAACGTTGAACGAGCTCTACCGTGTTAATGAGCATTATATCCAGGAAGTCATTGATTCCTCGCGCAAAATCCTGCAAACAGTATTGGAAGGCCTTGTCCCTGAAGGTCGTCTCAGACACGCACCCATTCGAACGTTTTTCCGAATCTTGTCTGGAATGATCTTCATCTTGAAGGTATGGTCTCTGATGGAAACCCCGGCAAGCATAATACTAACCTTGACCATAGACTTTCACTCTAGGCGCCAGAGAAGACGACGTGCGAGTCTCTCTAGACCTGCAGGACCGGACGGTAGAGGCACTGCGCAATTATGTTGTGGATGACGTGCACCTCAGCAACACGGTAGCCCGGCTTCTCGAGCTTCTCACTAGCAGCATTCGGACGCGCTTTCTGCGCTTTGCACCGCATGACCGCGGCGCAGACGGAGACGGACATGATCGTACCTCAGTCTCAGGCTCTCGGCCTCATTCACCATCGCGCGATCACTCAACGACTCGTCGTGAGGGCCCGAATACACCCTGGTCCGCTAACCAGGGTCATGATACGACGTTAGGCGTGTCGGGCCTAGGATATGTGGATACTCCTGGCACCGGCCCCCCGATGGTGTCAGGAAATGACCCACTGGCGAACATTCCTGCCCAGCCGATCAACTCATCCAACCTCAACGTATCCTTCATGCCGCCTCCGCCGTCCGTGTACCACAACTACTACGAATCCAGCTCGACATTCCCTGCCAATGATATGGACCGATCATCGCCAAACCATGTCCCCTCATCACAGCCTATGGGGGACAGCCACCACTCTACCTCCGGCGCGCTTCCGGATTGGTTTGCCCTGCCTCTTGATCAATTCTTCAACAGCTCCACCGGAATTGTTGACCAGGGCCTTGGTGGGACGGGACCCATGCTTGGCGAGTTTGACATGCTCGAGGTACTCCTCAATGAGGGGTATGATGGAAACACCAACGGCGAGGGTGAGACTGGGGCCGGGTTATCGTCCCAGTACCTGTGATGAAAATAATGATGATGACGAACAATTTGGTATTCTTTTTAGTCTTACACTTTAATATGGGAGTCTTTTTCGGGATCTAGCTCATGGTCTGTACCTTTTTCTATTATTTTGCTTGAAATTATATACCCCTGAGTTTTCCACCCGGCGTTTCTTATTTCTTGTCTACACCATTTGCCGTAATTTGCATCAACCGATTCTTCTGCCGATGGTGCTATTACTGCAGCCCATCATTGATTATTGCGAATCCCTATACCTCCCCGGCGGTGTCCGTCGGGGGGTTATTTGATTGCGGGGTCTCTAGTTTCATGCAGAAATCAAGTACTTTTGGTCTCCTGACTTTCACATGATAATTTAAAAGTTTCTTGGGCCGCGGAGGTTGAAGCTTTCGGGTGGCTTTGGCCTTATAATGGTGATACGAGATGGGTTAAGCTTGAGAACAATGTAAATATAGTAACTATTGCCGTATTTCATTACAGTCAGGTCGAGAGTAATACATTACCATCGAGAGAGTCACCTCATAGACTACAAACAATGCTATTGATGGCATGCACGGCACTCAATTATCCCTGCCGAGTACGTAGGGTCTACTATCTTACTCGCCGATCCCATGAGCAGATCGCCATCTCGACGGCCGCTAGATCCTTCGATGCCTTCGATGCAGATAAGAGCCGCTATTTGGTCTTTCTCCGTGAAGGGTCACATCGGTCTGGCATCGTGGACCCCATGTTGATGTTCTGTATAGGGATTGGTGGAGCATACAATGCAGGGACGGATCCCCGTCGGAGATTATAACTGTTCTTGTTTCATTGAGAGCTAGTATGGCCTTACTAGGCACTAGGTTAAACCCAAAAGGCTCATACGCAGAATGTCTCTCATCCAATGAGGCCAAATTACCCTAATGGAGCGATGTGACCTAGTTTTGGCCTTTCGCGCAGGTGATTGGCTGTCGTGGAGATAACGGGCGATGATCGTCAGGGCTCTAGTCTCCAGCGTCTCTGAACAATCCCTTCATGCAGCGTGACTACAACATAGCCGAAAGACAATCTAAGTAGTCTGGCTATCGGCTTGAGCCAATGGCAACCTATTGTCCTCTTACACAAGGATGGCCAAGTATGGCGATCGACCGGTCTTCATCCAATGGGTATCCAGACGCAGTCTCTCAAGACAACGCCTTGGCCTGGCCGGACTTCTCCGTTCTGCTCAGATAGCTTGTTACAACCAAGCTCCCTGGGCATTTTGCTTGTGTTGCATCTCATACATCTCCCGCCCCTGTGCGCTGGCCGCGCTAATCCTCTTACGTCCATTTGATACCATCTTAGCTTCTTGAGACCCTGGCACTATGTCCCTTTTTGGCTTGACCCCTCAATCGCCTACTTGGCGGACTCCGTCGCGCTCCTGGATGGCCGATGGTATCCGTGACGATCTCGAAATTTCTCCTCGACTTGACTGCATTCTGCAGGATCGTCATGTTTCCTTCCTACAAGGGTATTATCACCTTGTCCTGGATGTTGCGATAGACAGCCCCGTTGATGCCTTCTACTCGGACGCCGGCGGATTTCATCCATCAGGAAAGCTATAAAGGAGGTCTTGCCTCCAGCTCTTTATGAAATCCATCCTCTCCAGCATCGTCTTCGTTCACAATAGATCTATTCATTCTTCTATAGAACTATCACGATGGTTGTCTTCAGCAAAGTTACCGTCGCTCTCACCTGCTTCTCGGCCATTGCCTCAGCTGCGGCTGTGCCGGTCAAGAGCCCCCGCAAGGGCTTCACTGTGAACCAGGTGCAGAAGGCTGTTCCCGGTACCAGGACTGTCAACTTGCCTGGTCTGTACGCCAATGCACTGGCCAAGTATGGTGCTACTGTGCCGGCCACAGTTCACGCTGCTGCCGTGAGCGGTTCCGCCATTACCACGCCCGAGGCCGACGACGTTGAGTACCTCACGCCAGTCACCATTGGCAGCTCTACCTTGAACTTGGACTTCGACACTGGCTCTGCTGACCTGTAAGTTGGCTGATGTGACATGACTAGCAAGGGCAATAATTGACAATTCATATAGCTGGGTCTTCTCTAGCGAGCTTACCTCTTCGCAGCAGTCCGGCCACGACGTCTACAACGTTGGCAGCTCCGGCACTAAGCTGTCCGGTGCTAGCTGGTCCATTTCATACGGCGATGGCAGCAGTGCTAGCGGTGATGTCTACAAGGACACCGTCACCGTTGGTGGAGTCAAGGCTACTGGCCAAGCCGTTGAGGCTGCCCAGAAGATCAGCTCGCAGTTCCTGCAGGATAAGAACAACGATGGTCTGCTGGGTCTGGCTTTCAGCTCCATCAACACCGTCAGCCCCACACCCCAGAAGACCTTCTTCGACACCGTCAAGTCTAGCCTTGGCGAGCCTCTGTTCGCCGTGACTCTCAAGCACGGCGCCCCTGGCACCTATGACTTCGGCTACATTGACTCAGATAAGTACACCGGAACTTTGGCCTACGCCGACGTCGATGACTCCGATGGTTTCTGGTCCTTCACTGCCGACAGCTACAAGATCGGCACTGGTGCTGCTGGCAAGTCTATTACCGGAATTGCTGGTGAGTTACACTCTCCCTTGTGGACATCCATGTTTTGTTTACCATGACTGATCTCTTGAATTGTATAGATACCGGTACCACTCTCCTCCTTCTCGATAGCACTATTGTCACCGCCTACTACAAGAAGGTTACCGGCTCCCAGAACAGCAGCTCTGCTGGTGGTTATATCTTCCCTTGCAGCGCCACTCTGCCTGACTTCACTGTGACCATCAACGGCTATGACGCCGTTGTTCCCGGAAAGTACATCAACTTCGCACCTGTCTCCACCGGTAGCTCCAGCTGCTACGGTGGTATCCAGAGCAACTCTGGCATTGGCTTCTCCATCTTCGGTGATATCTTCCTCAAGAGCCAGTATGTCGTTTTCGACTCCGAGGCACCTCGTCTTGGCTTCGCCGCCCAGGCATAAATGGAATAAATCTCTTGATGAGATGGTACCCATGGAATATCGGCGATTCTTATGTGTGATGAATGTTGTACAGCGGAGAGCGATGTGATACATGGATGATAGATATGTTAGATTCGAGTCAACATAGTGAATTTTGGCCCTTGACTCAGCTAAGCTTATACATATCAATACAATGGGCATGCATATATTGGTGGAACCGTGAGATATAGAAGAGTGTAGACCGAACATCAACAGTGTGGCGATAAGCGTGAGGAATTTGTGGAGGAGCCAATGCGGAGCCTAGAAATGGGCGGAGCATCCAGACTTTCACCTTAATTCCTTAATTCCTTGTTTCCTTGTAGATTTGTCTCCTTTATGATCTTACGATCTTCATTCTTTTCGCTGAGTAGGACAGAAAGAAAACATTGCTCGTCTCGTGTCCCCAGACTCTCACACCGCCGTTGCTGTTTCTCCAGTTCCCTTCCATAATCGCCCCCCCGGATTTTCGACTCGCACCGTCTGTACGCGATCAGAGTCAATAATGGGATTTTAACCAGTGAAGGGTCTACGACAAGGGCGTATCGGTGGAAATTGCGCGGTTTATGAACTGTTTCCAGTGACGGCGATTCGGGGCCGTTCATATCGAGTCACATCATGGAAAATGACTTCCACTTGCTTCCCCGCCAGATCTGGGCGAATCCAACACCGACTACGACGAAGGTTTATACGCCGGGCTGTACGCCTGTCGTCTTGCCTATTAATGGTATGTAACCTCCTATCTTCCTCGACACTTTGGTCCTTGGGCCGCGGGCTGCAGTTTGCCGGTCGCAGACTTGGTGTTTGGAATGCCCCTTCTAGAATCATGTCTAATTACGAGGTGCGAATTCTTTATAGGACTCGTTTATCTCAATAAGTCATTCGCTATAACCCTCAGTGAAAACGCCGTCTTCGAGCCTGTCTGCACTGGCTCCCCAACCGATGAGGTCCACATCTCCGCCGTTCTCGATACGCGTGATCCATTCTATTCCTCCATTACCCCACAGCTATATGCCATCGGTTGTGCGACTGTCGTGAGCTATCTCCTCGTCATAATCCTTCTCATCACTCCGCGCACATTTTACGTCGGCGGCCCCGGCGGCGGCGCCAACTTCCTCGGCCGCCATGGGATGATCAGCGGCTCATATAGCGGGAACTCGTCGGTGGTTGGAGTCGGCGGACGACCGTGGCTACAGAAAGTGGCTGCGATCTTGGTTGCGATCTCGCTGACTATCGCCACGGTGGATTCTTTCCGAGTCGCCGAGCGGCAGTATGACTATGGGTTTTCCGATGCCGAGGCGCTTTCCCAGGAGGTTATCGACGGCATGGAAATTCGCATCGTGCGCGTCATATCGAGTACATTTCTGTGGCTTGCGCAGGTTCAGACGTTGATTCGATTGTTCCCGCGACATAAGGAAAAAGTTATGATCAAATGGGCTGGGTTTGCGTTGATTGTACTGGATACGACTTTTAGCATTTTGGACAATTTTTGGGCGAGGAACGCTCCTACACGACCCAGGCTATACGAGGATGCCATTCCTGCTCTGAGCTACTTGTTCGAATTGTCGCTTAACCTTCTCTATGCCGCTTGGGTGATTTTCTACTCGATATCCAAGCACCGATACGCATTTTTCCACCCCAAGATGCGGAATATCTGCTTAGTGGCTCTTCTCTCGCTATGCGCCATTTTGATACCTGTCGTATTTTTTGTTTTGGATATTGCCAAGCCGGAAGTTGCTGGCTGGGGTACCTATATTCGATGGGTTGGCTCTGCCGCGGCCAGTGTGGTGGTCTGGGAGTGGGTCGAACGCATTGAAGCGCTGGAACGAGATGAAACCAAGGATGGGATTCTTGGGCGAGAGGTCTTCGACGGCGATGAAATGCTTGAAGTCACTCCGTCCGAGGAAGTTGACTGGCCACGATTCTCGCCACAAGGACACGACCAAGGTGGCGGCAATGGCGCATCGTCTGGATGGGGCGGCGTGATGGGTTTAGCCCATCGACCTCTACGGGCTCGGGCTGGATTGCCTCTTGGCAATCGAAACAAAAGAGCCAGAGCACCACCATATAGCCAAGCCGCTGCGTCGGCGCCGCGGGGCCCAAACGGTCACCGGCCCACTCCACCCCCAGCGGCGATCACACCGATCAGCCGTGCTGATACTACCAGTGCAGCAAGCACAGTGTACAATGTCCGATATCATCCAGTGGCTAGCCCTACGCCTCCGGTCGCAATGCCAAATATGCACGAGGAGGAGGAAATGGACGAAGCCAAGGAACTCGAAGGCAGGGAGCCACATACTCCGGGTACACATAATCAAGCTCTTTCCGTTCAAAATACCCGAGAGCAATCCCCGCAGATCGTGCAAGCCGATCCACGATGGCATGTTATCCTGCACCCATTCAAGAGGCGACGTGCATCCCTGCCCAAAGAAGTGGCGTATGCACAAGCCGAGGAAGAATTCTCAGAACACAGACCATCTGCTGCAGCAGAAGAGGCCGAGGCAGAAGCAAAAGCTGCCCGGTCTCGAGCCGATCTCTTCTTTTCTCTCCATCGCAAAGCCCGACCAGGCGCTGGGCCACAGAACACCAACGGCTCGTTACCAGTCACTGTTATTCCAGCGCGTCGCCGCGGCCAGCACACATGGTCCCCGCAAAACCGCCTGCTGGAGGACACCCAGCCACCGGGAGAGAGCCGGCCGATAGAACCTCAACATCACGGAGCGCCCTCCACTCGTCCCAATCTGCCTGTGCGGGTGATTCCTTCTCGACCAGAAGCGTCTGCTCCATGGACGGAGGCAGATGTAGAGCGAGGAGGTGGAGACTATGTCCTACACTACGACCCAGAAGCTGCGGCGCTGATCAACGAGGATATCAGCCATTTGGATCGTGAACTTGTCACAAATTACGACCAACAAAGCTGGACAGATACGAGTTACTCGGAAGAAAGGAACGATGTGTCAGCGGAAGAGACTGGACCATCCGAGTCCCTTGTGCACGGGCCTTCTAACGATCAGCATGGCCAAAGTTCTTCATAAAACGCCATTTTAGGGCATCGCGTGTGGCCGACGGATTCAGGGGCCGAATGGAGGCTGAGGAGCTAGGCCCGGGACATTTCTTGGTGTTCTAGGCAGTTATATTTGGCCATTTCACGGAGTTTATGGATTTGATATTATTGGCAAGGTGTTGGGCGGATTCTGTTCGACATCTTAGAAAGATACCCATTATAATTTTGAAATTGAATATAATATTGCATCCATACTTAGTCCTCCCATAGTTGATACTCTCTACAGGCTTGTAGCGGTGACTATGGTGACTATCGCTGATCTCTGCTTGGCTGCTGGCTGACCAAGGGCTGGCTTACGAAAGTGGAGACGAAATTTCACTCGGGAACTCGCGATTCCGGTGCATTTCCCTACATTCTTTGTATCTCTATGTGACACCTTACCTTGGACGTCGCATCATGGCGACCGTCAATCGAAACATGTTCGGAGCGAGCATAACTGAACCGCCTGGCGGTGCCCAGTTGATGGCTCTGCCGTTGAACCTCATTGCGGAGATTGTGTCACATGTGAGAGATAACTCCGCACATCTCATTTCCATATCTGACATGCTGTTGTTAGGTCGACGACACAGGCGATCTCGCCCGGCTATGTCGAACATGTCGGGTCCTCAATTATATGGCGCTGCCACAGCTGTACCGCAGCCTGACGCTGACCTCCTACGACAAAATCCGTTATCGCGACGAACAACCAGAAGGAATCGGGAGCGCCAGTCCCTTCACGATGGGACTGAATGCCATTATTACACGATCTTATGCGACGCTGGTACGATCGATGACACTACGGGGTGAATGGAAGGAATACGAGCGGGAGGAGCATGCCCAAGTCGGCCGGGTGCCCGACGCATCGATGTTGTTGAACATCGCCGCCCGCGCTGCCATAGATCGCATGACTAATTTGGAAAGCTTCCATTGGGAATTGAACACCAAAATGCTCGACACGGTTTTTCTGGGGTTGACACAGCTGCCGAAGCTCACATCTCTGACTATCCGGTTCCCGTCCAGTCGTCACCCACAACCCACTTTCGTCATTCCCGGCATGCCGCATTTGCGATGTCTCAAAATCACCGATATCGACCCGCTATGCTACCCCGATGATATTGCGACTCTTCTTCATAAGAGCAGGAAACTACGCGAACTGAAATTACATTGGTCGCCACGGATGCGCGATGCACACGAGCCTAGTGTCTCTCTGCATGATTACTTCCGCAAGCTGATCGCAAGCAAGCAGCCACTGGCGGTTAAGAAGATGACGTTCCAGAATCTATATGCCTTCCACACCGAAGAGTTCAACTGGGCTTTTGATCCGACTACTGTCGAAGACGTCACATTTCTCAGTGGCCTTGATGGCTCAAGTCTGGTCAACACATTCGTCGAGAACAGCTGGCCGACAGTTCCGCCTCATGCCAAGCTCCGCATGAAATCCATTCGGATGGATGCAGTGTCAAAGCGGAGCGCGGAGTTCATTGGGAATTTCTCTGGACTCGAACGGCTATACTTTGTCAATGTCACATCCGAATCAAGCGACATCCTCAATTGCCCACGGCCCGGAGGAGGGGTGGTCTCATCGGCGCTCACACCGCCAGTATCCGAACACCATTCGTCTGGTGCGCCCGGCGGAACCACAGCCAACTCCCCTATTACTTCTGCTTCTCCAGCTAGCCAGCTTAATGCTATAGCTAGCATGCGAGACATCTACCTCTCAAATATTACCACAAATCACGGCGCGACATTGCGCCATCTCCTTCTTCCATCTAAATGGCCTCTCTCCACCGGGATGGTCGCGCGACTCGTCCATAGCTGTCCGAATTTGGAGCAGCTTGCCCTTGCCACCGAGTTTTCCAGTATGGACTCATTGGGTCTACTAATACCTTTCCTCCGGAAGTTGAAAGCGATCCGGCTTCTCATACCCCCACCTACCGGGCAGGCGTCAGGTGGTCCTGCAACTTCTGCACTGAAGATATACCCATCTGCCGGATTTGATAGCATTAAAATGGTGCAAGAAACTTTCGCGAATGCCAAGACTTTTGCAGAAGTGGTGGACATCGACGACTCGATCCTGACCGAAATGTTGAGCTACGACCTTGCCAACAAGCAAGTTTACGAAAACGTGAAGATTATCAGCATGGGCTGGAAAGCCTGGGAGTTGAAGGACTTCTACAAAGCCCCAATACCATCAGGAACCAATAAAGAGTCTCAAACACCAAACGGTGATAATGCATCCCCAGAGACCACCACAGACAGTCCCGCTCCCACGCAAGGTACCGACGGCATTGGACCCAGCGCACCGTATCAGCCTGCTGTCTCCCATAAGTCGCCCGATACACAAACAACACATATCTCTTCTTGGTCGAAGTCACCCGGCACTAGACCAATCCTACCGCCATCAACATTGGGGAAACGATCACGCGATCTAGATGGCTGCGAAACTCACAGACCGCCACCCTGCCCGGGGACACTCAACAGCACCGAAGACAACGAGAGTGTTCCGGTCTACGGCTGCTACCCGCACACCTTCACTGATGATGGCTTTGTGTGGAAACGGCGCGCGCGACGGGTAGGATGGGAGGTTCTTCAGCATTGGGAGGTGTGGGCGTTGGACTCGCAGGAGATTTAAGATGGTTGTCCTTCGCATTCTGGCGTCATGATACAAAGGAGTTTGGCATACCAAAGAGCGGTGTTGGTTTTTTATCCCTAGGCCTGGGTTTGAGGGGTTTCACTTTAGAGCTAAAGCAGGTTATATCCTGTGCTACTCGGCGTTGGAAAAGTATATATACTACATGTGGGGATATCTCCTCTCTATGGGGTTTATGTCCCTCTTATTTGTAAATTGAATTTGATTAGATATTCTGATAAAAAAACTGGGAGTATGATTTATTCAGACTAAGCTATATTGAATGTAGCCTAGGTGTTAACAAAATGAGTGCAATTTCATCAATATTCTAAGTACAGAGAGGGAAGAGAAAGTAAAACTATCTACGAGTCTGTTCGACTCGGTTTTGTGCTGTTCTCGTTGCAAACCATGCAAAGCATAACTTTGCTGACGATTCAGGAAGGAACGACTTCTTGAAAGTAGAAGGTGCAAACCTGGCAGGTACGCAGGTCATCAAATCGCCACGAAGATGTTCATAGATCCGGGTACTTAGCGACGGTAGATGAGGTCCGTAGTTAGTTATTCACAGATTGCTTGTCAACAAGCCGCCTTTGTTCTTGTCTGATTTCGGCTGATTATAATTTGAAATCAATCAGCACTCTCTCAACTCCATGACAGCTTGAATAGGAGAAAGCTGGATCACTCGATGAGAGTGATTGCGGGAGTAGCCGATGGTGTAAAATGAGACTCAGCGAAGAATGCAGGTGGCTGCTCGGGACGGTGTTGGGGGTTTCTCCTGAACCCCGCGACTGGCTCAATCCTGGAAACATTCATCGTTTCTCCCGTCAGAATTTGTGGCTCGAGTTTGTGTTGGACGAGTCGAATTACTCAGACGGCATCCACAGTTTGCAGAAGAGCGTGCTTTCCAAGACCAGGGAAGCCAGCAATTGAACGAATATGAGGTCCTCATATCGCGTCAACTCCCTTTGTAGGTAAAGCCATCAATTGCTTCATGCTCGAGACTGTCCTCAACCTGGGTACCTTTGAAGAGGCTTGGGGCAAGGCCACGGATGATGTAAATTATGGGAATAGCAACTTACAGAATCCGTGAGACCCCCATCCTCCCCAAATTCCACAATTATTTGTCGGGGCAAGGGTCGTTGCAACCCACCCTCAGAAAGCCCCAAGCGCAGCGATCTCAGACTCGAGAAGCCTCGCCGAAGAGGTCAAAGGCCATATTTGAACGCTCGAGTGAGCGCCGCTCAAGGGTCCTTAGGGGCTGGGTACCGACGAGCGAAGTTCTTGACAACCTTGTCAGCGACAAGGACGTTGTGTCCGATCTCGACTTTCTCGAGATTCGGAAAGAGAACCTATGATAAAGAATCAGTACACAGCATTTTATCGAAATAGCTGTGACAAACATACCAAAATCCGTCTGAACAACTTTGCCCAATCTTCGGGCAATCCGTGGAGAGGCCATCTCCATTCCGGCTCACTTCCGCCATAGCTGCTGAGGGAGAGGACGGTGACCGATTCGCCCTGGATGCGTGGGATATGAAGGCCATCCATAAGGGTCCGAATGTCAGAGTCGCGACTGCTCCCTCGAACGCACAATTTCAGTACCCGCAGCTTCGGGAAACGAACATCCCTCAGCGCGGCGTCAGCAACGTGGGCGTCTCCGGCGTCTCCGGTGGCCAGCTCGGCCAGCTCGACATGGTCAGCGTACTGTTGGCGGAATTCGGCCGGGACCTTCGCGAAGATCACGTCTAGTGAGCGAGACACGGCCGGCGTGTCCATCGCACCCATAGTGTTCTTCCAGGTTCGTTGACGTTGAATTATCTCTGTATACCACGCTCGGTTAAGAGTCGCAAATGGATAGAGATAACCGGCCTGGTCCTCCACATAGGGCTCCCGCTTGGTACCCAGGCCAATTTTCCATGGCCGGAATTTCGCTGGCCACACCCACTGCTTCTTTCCCCCGATGTCCCGCGACTTCTTGTACATGAAGTCGTCAAGTCCCTGGACCTGCCAGTGGACAATCTCAGAGACCAGCTCTGACTCGCTGAGCGGCGTTTTTCTTGGTGATGCTACGCGGCCAGCGCGGGCGAAGAGTTCGTCGAGAGCGAGTTGGGGCCATCGTTGATGATAGAGAAGAAAAAAAAAAGGTTGGACAGGAGCTTCACGGAATTTATACAGTTCTTCGAGTGAATGACCACATTATGAATAGCCATTGTATCTCGAGGAAGATATTGCAATAGAACAATAGATGAGCGAGTGTCAGACTGAAAGCTAGGGGAAGATGGTCTCGAGACGATGTCACGATAGTCTCCAAATGTGGATGGAGGTCGCGACCCGAAGATGGTATGCGCGGGCGGTCGCGGCCCGAAAATGGAGTTGTAGTTCTGACCCGGCCGCAGATCGACTAGTGGTCGAGGTACGACTTATGGCAACGGTGTCAGTTGTAACGGCTCGAAACGTGGCGTTCGTATTCCGCCCGCGGTTTGGTATACCGGCTGCGGGTCTCTAGCCAGTGTATTAGGTTGTCCTAGGATAACGTCCTCCTCCTCCAGCTCTAGAAGCGGAAATCCGTTAAGCGCAGTCGACGACCTCGTCGCCTGGTGTACGAAGTTCCGTACCACTCCTCTTAGGGTACGCTTTATCTTAAGCGCCCAGTCAGCCGGGTAATAGAGGCCTGTTATTGGGTTCTGCGGCAACGATAGTTGTAGGTACTGGCTCGTCACATAACGAACCTAGGATAGCAGCAGTTTATCGAAGATCTCTAGATACGGGTTAGTATCGTCTAAAGCGTAAAGATATAATTGATAGGCTGTTAGGATAAGCTTCCGTAGGGCTCTATTAGTCGGTTCTACCTGCTCTGTTATAGACGCTGACGTAATATGCGGGTATAGTGGCAATAGCGACGTCGATCAGTGACCACATGACCGTGCCCCTCTGCCGATACCCGAAAGGATGGCGGTCCCATAAGAGACAGAAACGCGTCTGAGCGTCGTAGGCAGGACTAGCAACGCGCGCAGGTATACGACAATGCTTAAACACTCTACCGCTGGGTCGGGTAGCGAGGCAACCAGCGATGAGAACCGTACGCTGGGGTAATCCACCCTTAGGGTAAGCTACCCTTAGGGCCGTCGGCGTAGCGCGCAACGGCCAAGAAAAAATAAAAATTCAACTGAGGGGGTTTCACCCGGCCCTCGAAATGTTCTTCTGGCGTGGCCAGGACGTGCTACCAGTTGTCAGACTGAAAGCTAGGGGAAGATAATGATGATGTATTCTGTGCCCGGTTGCCGGGAGCTAGTTATCTAGGGGATGCTGACTCAGCATAAGGCTGAGCCAGCCGAGGGCTACAGCGAGCTGATAAGAAATGGAGGTATATGAGAGGTAAAAGTGATTTTATACAATGTTATTGTCAATAGGGTCAATAGCTTCAATCAGATTCAAACATGAGAAGCCAGTGAGTAGTTGAGCCATTGCAGACGAAGAGGAAGTGCAGCTAAAGTAAGCAAGTATTGAGGGAATAACAAACAAAATTGAATAAAGATGAGACCATAGAGATTAACGTATGATTTATTGAAGAAAAATAGGTTTTACATGTAATATGTACTGATTCTTCAAGCCTCAAGGAAGAAACTAGGGATTCCGAGTAGGTTACTTGAATCGTCTCCATTCTGATTCTCGTAGTACATTGCCAATAAGTAATTTCATGCTTGCTGAGTCCTGATTATTATGGAACTGTAATTTGATAGTTTTGAGCAATCTAGAAGTTTCCGCTGAGGTTTGTGGTGACTTCTCCTTGATAACTGAGGCTATCTCATCTTGATCTTCATCGTCTTGCGGGGTTTCAGCTTGGGAGGGAGAACGCGGAGTTTCAGCTTTGAAAGGCAGGTGGAAAAGGTGTTCCCAGCATTTCATAGCTCGGTCCTGAATATCGGGCAGCTTGTTGAGCTCTTCAGAGATTGTAATGCGTGTGGCGGCGGCAACGGCTTCAGTTTTGTCCGTTAGGGCAGTCTGTTGAAGTTGGAGCTGGCGGTATGTAGACATGTGCTTGCGTAGCCGTCTCAAATCGTCGATTTCTGGCTCTATGCGGTCCAGGTTTTCCATAATGCTTTTATAGGGGACGACAAAATCCCGGAGGATTTTTTCCTCGCTATCGGCTTGGTGAACTTGGTTTTGCGCTACCGCTCCGTGGACTTGGCTTTGTGCCTCAGGAGTGCCCGGTAAAGAAGACGGTAAGGAAGAGCTGATGCTGATTGCGTTGTTAGGTTGCGCCTCGGCTTGTGTGGTGGTCTGGCGTTGTCGCTGACTACCGTGGTTGGACCTGCTACCAGAAATGTAGCAGTAAGCTTGACCTCCTTGGTGGGGGTACCATAAGCTATGAAGCTATGACTAAGCTAAGCTTGTGACAGCATGGAATTCTGTTCATATCATAGTGATAAAAAAAGAGCGAGCAATACCATAGACAGGTAGAAAGGAAGATATGGTAGTCTTGATAAACAAGGTCAAGTGATCCCAATGTATAGCAATCAATGAATGTAATTTAAGAGTGAGACGAGGCCAAAGATGACGGAATGAGTTGGAAGTTGTGAATGGAAGAAGTGTTGAAGAAGGGATATATAATGAAGGGAAAAGAGAAATGGTTTGAGACAAAGGAACTCTCTCTCTCAAAATGAGGGATTGCTATTGACTTGATAGTGGCCATATGCATTTGCCATAGACTCGGGTACCGACAACAATGATATCGGGCTGCCCCACCCACTGCTGCGGGTCTACCGGCACGGCCCGCAACCTTGCAGAAGCGATCCAGCGCCTGGGAAACTCCCCCAGGGCTGCCTCGATGACATGGCCTACCGCAACCTACATCTGCTAACCGAAATTGGCATGAAAATTGTGAGGTAGATACCTCTATGCCGAAGCAATCACACGAGGTTTATGTCTCGCTAAACCTATAAAGGGGACGGAGTACAGAGCACGATAATACCTAATAAATGTGAAGAGATAATGCGTACACCTAGATAGAGAACAGAAAAAGGATGCGTGGAAAATCAGTTACGACAAGAAACAAGTCATCTTACTGCAAATATGCGAGAAGGAAGGTTGCAACTGATGTTGGTGGTCGGCTTAGCATTGGACATCTGGAAATAACGGGGTTAATAGCGTTAAACCCGAGACAGTAGGTAGGGATAACAAAGGCTTGCGGACAAGTGGCCCGCCATTATCGTTTTATATATAATCCTAAGACCCTTCTGGTCGCTTAATCCACGCATTCATTATCACGACCATCACAATGGCTGCCACTCCTGTTTCCACACCCCAGCTCACGAATAGCAAGCCGGAGGGCATCAACCTCTATGCTCGCTTTGCCCTTGCCGGTGCACTGGGCTGCTCCGTCACCCATGGCGCCTTTACTCCGGTCGACGTGTACGTGTTCTCAATTGGTTCTCGCTCCAGCTCTAGCTTCAGCTCCATCACCAACATCGACTAAAATAAAGAACTTCCGCATAGTGTTAAGACAAGGATCCAGCTCGACCCTCTCACCTACAACCGTGGTATGATTGGTAGTTTCCGACAGGTCATCCGTAACGAAGGCATCAGCGTTCTTGCAACGGGCTTCGGGCCGACCTTTGCAGGATATTTCATGCAAGGCGCCTTCAAATTCGGCGGTTATGAATTCTTCCAGCAGAAATCTATCGATGTTCTCGGTGCGGAAAAGGCTAAACAGAATAACACTGCTGTTTACGTTGTTTCAGCTGGTTGCGCTGAGTTCTTCGCCTCGGTTGCGCTGTGTCCCCTGGAAGCAACACGTATTCGTCTTGTCTCGACACCTGGCTTTGCTAATGGTCTGATCGATGGTTTCGGGAAGATCGTGAAGAATGAGGGCGTCGGCGCTCTTTACTCGGGCTTTGGTCCTATCCTCTTCAAGCAGTACGTTCATTGATCCGAGACTCCCTTATAGTTTGGTGAAAACAACATGACGAAGAGCTATAACTAACATATGTATAGGGTTCCTTACACAATAACCAAGTTCGTCGCTTTCGAAAAGATTTCAGAGGCCATCCTGAGCCAATTTGACAAGTCTCAAATGTCAGCTGGTGCCTCGACCGCTGTGAATTTGGGATCTGGTCTGCTGAGCGGTTTCGCGGCTGCCATCGTGTCTCAGCCCGCTGATACCATGTTGTCTAAGATCAACAAGACGAAGGGTCTGCCTGGTGAGAGCACTGTCTCTCGGCTGATCAAGATTGCTGGTGAGCTTGGTCTGCGTGGATCTTTTGCTGGTCTCCCGACGCGTCTGTTCATGGTTGGTGGCCTCACTGCGGGCCAATTCGCCATATACGGCGATATTAAGAAGTTCCTAGGTAAGTGTGATTCTTTTCTGCTTGGTTTTCCTGCTCCACTTGACACTGATACGAACTAACTTCGTTCACAGGTGCTACAAAGTAGAGAGAAAGAACGTTAGATTGTATTGTCCACAGTTTAGAATACGCATTAAATCATTCAGTCAGTATAGAGATGGAGCCTATCTGTATATATCTACCTAACTAGCCACTTGTGACCTGTGTTAACGTTTACAAAGTGGCATAGCGGCAATAGCCATGTAATCGACCTAGGCCAAAACTAGACTCACACCCGAGGGAGAGTTCAGCGAAGCGGAGGCTGACCGGAAAAGTCGGACAGCAAACAGTGGTGATGATCTGACACGTACTCGGCCCACATCGCTCCGACTCTGAGACGAAAGACGGGACGCGACATACAATCATCGGCATCCTGCAGCGCTAAAATTGCGGCTGCAGAAACTCGTTACAGACCTTGTCCGCCTTTAAGATTATTTGGTGACTGAACAAAACAATAGCTTCCATTCAAGCCCCTTTAAAAATATGGTCGACTCGAAAGATTCTCGTACTTCTGACTTACATTGGACGTGTCGTGCAAATCGAAGATGTCCTAGTGGACTGTTCGTTAAAGTTGACGTTCTGCTTTCCTTTCCAAGCTCGAGATAATGTGTTGCTTCTCGGCTCGTCTCGCGCTTGTTGGCCTCCGGCAGGGGAGTCGTTAATGGAGATATCTGGTTGACGTATCGCTCTAGCTGGAGGTAAGGCTCCGTCTGCTGGGGGAACGCGACCCCAATGCAATCAGTGTGCCTTGTTTTAGAAGGATGCCAAAAAGGCTGGTCTGGGAAATAGCGGCTTCCGTCAACGTGTCCATGGAATGTGGCCATTAAGACTTGCATCTTAAGTCCAATAAGCTCGGGGCACTCTAGGGCTGATTTCGGAGTTTACACCGTAAGTCCGAAGTCCGTGATCGTCACCCTGGCCGGGGTTTGCAGGTCGGTTCGAATAGTAACACCCCATATATTCACATGTATCATACAAATATCATATTCGTTCATTGATTGTGTACTCCGTACACACGAGTTGATTTTGATGGATGAGTATCCTGGCATGGTACCTTAGATAGACATATCTTTGCCATGCCAGATGGTGACCGATCTAAGCTTGTTATGAACACGAGTTGCCCAGGGCACATTCTCTTTCCCAGCATTTTGCAAGCAAGCTGGCAGAGAGACGGCATCAATCATACTCTGTGTGGCACCGTTCCCGGATCATGGAAGGAAACTGTGCGCATCACCGACTGTCGAGGCGGAGACAGAAAAGGAGTTCTGCGATCTGTAGGTATGCGAGCGTCGCCAGGGCCCAGTCCTTACTTGACCAAGTGGTCTTGCCGGGTATTGCTCTGAACCGTTTCATGAATTTATATATAATGAAGGCGACTGCGTTGAAACTTCATAGTGAGAGTGACCGAGTTGTGGCTATATGCAGATGTCGATTGATAAGATGCGCGACCTTTCCAGCGATGAGGGTGTTGGGAAAGACAGTCACGCCGAGGTGAGCGACGACGCGACGCGACGATGTAGTGCAACTGGCCCGGGGAAACAACGGCAAATGGTACAGCCTTCATCGTCGGTCGGTTGGATACACAAAAAAGAAACATCAAGGTTGGAAGTGTCGGTCATTGCCGTGACTACCTACGAATCTCGGCTACGGAGATTTACACCCCTAATGTATTCCGTGGGACTCGTCAAGTGGCAATGAGAGCCACGACTTCAGGAACGTCCACGAGAAAGCCTGGTTTGATGTTTGATGCAGACCTACATGGACCTCATGCATATGGTAATGTCATGGTCCCTGTGATAGATGAAGCAGCATGTGCTACGGCACCCTCTGCCGACGCTGTCTCGTGGGGGCTACGGTGAGATGGTGGTCAGAGGGATGTGGAGGAGAGAAGAAGAAGAGAAGAAGAGAAATGGGGGGAGGGACCCTTTTATACCCCCAACCCACGTGCCTTTCCAAAATGGACACTCTCCATCGCACCTTCCCTGATGGTCCTATGTCACATGATATCAAGGTAGGTGCATACAAGAACAAATGCCATTACATCAGATTTGGAAGAACATCTTGTTCGTCCCTCTCTTCAACTAACACACCACCCGAGTCATTGGACAGATGGGATTGTTCAGGATGTTGACAATTGCCAGTCATCTTGAGGTATTCTGTACTGGCCCTGCAAGCCTGCATCTCATTTTGACACTTGCAACCTTGATGATGAAGGGGGTATTATCCATCAACCAAACACGGATTCAGCAAGAACATTGACAAATGATGCGTTCCGTATTATTGCTGATTGTAGTCGTGGAGCTATCAAGGCTATCAACCAGGATATTGAGCCACCTAACGTTGAGACTCAAATTCCGCAACAACGTGCCTCGAAGCAAGACGTAGTCGGACAAGATCTTTTGGATGCTATCAATAATCTTACAACCAATCATTAAAACTTTAGCCAGAAATATGTTAATGATTGGTTGTAAGATTATTGATAGCATCCAAAAGATCTTGTCCGACTACGTCTTGCTTCGAGGCACGTTGTTGCGGAATTTGAGTCTCAACGTTAGGTGGCTCAATATCCTGGTTGATAGCCTTGATAGCTCCACGACTACAATCAGCAATAAGCTCAGTGTCCGGAACCAAGCCCTGACACATAGTCACTGCCCAGCTATTGGTCTTTGCAATTCCTCATGGCTGAGCAGAGATAAGAGCCAAGTACCTGCCGACAAAGCCAATCCCACGGCCACGCATTCACACCTGTACAAAATATTACGCATTCTTACGTTTCGAGGGGACTGTTGGGCGGTTGGATGGTCACTGACATTCAGCAGGGGTCGCTGAGAGAAATCGACAGTGAAAGTGGAAGAGTCGAGACCAAGCAGTATACGTTCCCGTGTACGGTTGGTGCATAGAGCCATGACTTCTCGGATCGGGGCGATAGCCAGTGGACGTTGGTCTTCAGATGGAGGGAATCCAATTTACGCAGACGGAAATTGCGAGATGCTGATATTAGTGGCCTTACAATCAAGGCAGCAAAACATCACATCGAAGACTATGAATCGTGTGCTTCACAGGTTCAGCAAACTCGCCGGATGAACCGAGTCAAGATGTAGTCGGCCCGACGAGTATGGAAGAGGCAGAAGCTTACATACTTGAGCTTATTGAAGAACGCAGTGTCGGGTCTGTGAAGCATAACAAAGTGTTTTGAGTCTGGAGATCTGTAAGCATTAGATGGGTCACTGCTCGCAATATACCTAAGAGAAAGCTTTCAATGTCCCGCGGCTTGGATTTAGATTGGCATAGAAGCAGAAAAGAGAGCAGTGGTTAGTGACCCACTGGATAATATATCCGGGATCTGTTTTCTTCTGCATGAGGCCTCTTTTGGTTACTGCCTCTTTTGGTTGCTGCATCTGTATCGGAAACCGCCCACATGGCCTATTTCGATGTGTTACTGGCAATTTCCATATGCAAGTGCTTCGAGACTTGACCTTGGCCTTGTTCACCTGGGCAAACCCCTTTGATTAGAGAATTTTTCAACCTTGAACGGGCCCGAGTATAGAGCGACCGCGACATAATAGGCATATTTGTGTGGAGAAATAGTTTGAGACGTCATTCTTGGAGTCTTTTTAGCCCAACCCGTGACGTTTCTGTTGATTTCATTTGCATAGCTGATTGGCTCAGAATGAAGTGGGATGGCGATTAGACCGTCTGCGAGACCTCCGCTCTTGCGACTTTGGCGGGGTCGACCCGCTTACCCGCCGAAGGAGGCCATCAGATTGGACTTCATATTGCGAATTTCCACATGTGCTGGCTTTAAATTGATGATGTATTACATTGGGATATTAATCTCGCATACTTAAAGCTACGCTCCCGTTATTTTGTACATTCTTGTTCAGACTAAAGCTTGTTCTGTTTGGAGAAACAGCCATGACCACTGTCACTACCACTACTCCACCTCTCAATCAGTCTTCGTTTGAGTGAGTTGACTGTATTTTCTTCTGAGCAGGCAATTTCTAATTGGGGACGCTAGGCTAAGTGGCCCATATGGCGATTGGAGAGACGACCTTCACAATCAAGGCTATGCGATCATTAAGAATGCCATCGACCCAAAAAAGGCCCAGGACTATCAGCGCAAAGCTCTGGACTGGCTTACATCTTTCAACACAGCCCTCGACCTTGATGATCCTTCCACGTGGACCAATGACAACTTACCGGTCCAAAGCAAAGTGAATACATTCAATGGATATTCAGTCACCCATGAGAAATTCATGTGGGATGCTCGCATGGAGCCAAAGGTACTGGAGGCATTTTCCAAGATCTGGGATACCGATGAGCTCCTCGTCTCGTTTGACGCGCTGAACATCACTCTGCCCAACCGAGAAGACAAGCCTGCTCAAAAGCCATGGCCCCACGTGGATCAGTCGCCAATGCGTCGCGGGCTCCACTGTATTCAGGGAATTATCAATTTAAGCCATGCGGGTCCCGAAGATGGATCCCTTATGGTGTTTCCGCGGTCAAACACAGTAACCGAGGAGTTCTTCGACACTGAGACCGATCCATCCACCTGGGAGCAGAAGGACCTGCGCCTGTTCAGCGCGGAAGAAATTCAGTGGTTTGAGTCTCATGGTATGAAACCATCCAAGGTGCTTGCGGAGCCGGGAGATTTACTCGTGTGGGATTCACGTACGGTGCATTGGGGTGGGGAACCCACCGTCAACAGCAACACGATCCGAACGGTGATTTATGCATCCTACGCCCCCTTTGAGCTAGCCACGGAAGAGAGCCTGAAACGAAAGAAAGAAGCTTTCGCCTCTTACCGAGCAACAACTCATTGGCCCCATGAGAACATAGTGATCCGCAATGGAGTGGTGCATCTCCCAGATGGTAAGGTCGACCCCCGCAATCGATATATACCGCTGGAAGTGCCAGAGCACACAGATCGGTTGCTTCAACTAGCAGGAGTAAAATCTTATCGGTAAATGAATATAATTTCTCACTTCGTTTTGTTTTTGGCGCCCAGATGAAACTAGGCACGTTTGATTATTAAGGGGCTAAGTTTTGGCGTTTGCTGACGACCCCGCAGTGAGCATTTGACGTCGATCTTCCGTATTGCTCACAAAGCAAATATGAAATCATTTGAATCTCGCCCTCCCGTCGACTATCCACGGAAGCGTGCATCAATCGCATGTAATTTCTGTCGGCATCGGTAGGCTTTTAATTCCTCGCTTTGGACCGTCACTAACGTATACTAGGAAACGGAAGTGCGATGGACAGAAGCCGACATGTGGCCTCTGCACCGATGCGGGGGCTCAGTGTGTCTATCAAGAAAGCGACAGGTAGAAAGCGTCACCTCGATGAAAAGGGTTCCTAGATAGTGACGATCCACAGGGTGCAAGATATCCCCGCTGAAATCCTGCTTCGCTTGACCCATCTGGAAACCCTGATCGAGCAACAGAAGGACGCCATCACCGAGCTCGCAGCCCGAGTAGGCGCTTCGTCGGATCATCCGGGTCGGTCAAGTTCCTCTATCTATGCCTCGCAGCCTAAATACGACTGGGACCCATCACCGGAGCATGTATACGATAAATCCTCCTTCGGCCTGTTTTCACCGGAGAACACCTACGGCTCTGAATATGCATTAACCATTCCTTTCGGTCATCATACGCCAACTGGGAGCCTATTTGCGTTGGATCGAGTCAAAAATTTGGTTGGCGACTACCCTCAAGACTTTTTCAAGCAGATAGAGAAAAAGCGACCATTCAACAGTATCCAGGCCGCAGGCATACCTCAAGCTTTTGAACAAATCGACGTATCCCGACTGCATCCTCAGGTCACCAAACCTCTAATCACCGAGTTCCTCCATCATGTCCATGCATTCTTCCCAATTGTCGAGCCGCAGCTGTTACAAATGCTTTTTGACACTTTCTCAACGTACACCAAGGTCAACAGTATCCAAACTTCACTTTATCTCGTGATTCTGGCTCTCGGAAAGGTCTCCACGAATCCTCAACGGATTTTTGATGTTGAAGCGGACAAGGATTTGAGTGGGATGGAATATTTCGCTTCCGCATATCACTACTTGAACAACTCATTGATAACGTCCTTTACAGCGGACCATTTGTTGCCTTTAGCTTTATTTTACGGCTCGTTGTATCTGCGCTACATAGGACGCCCAATCCAAGCATGGCAAATGATTCGTCATGCATCTGGTAGTGTGCAGATCATGATATCTGAGTGAGTGTCTTTTCTGATATATGTTCCCGCTAGGATATTGACACGGATTGGATATAGACTACATGACATGAACACACACGAAGAGCGAGCGAGTCTCTATCGGATAGCTTGGGCCTGCTTCATTCTCGAATGGTTAGTATACTATCTGGCATTATCTTGCATTCAGCTAACAAACTATGCCCAGTGACGATCTCGCCGAATTTAATTTCCCTCCCAGTGGTATTGAAGTCCTCGTGGATAGATTGCCCTTTCCTCGAATTTCAGAAGATAGCCGAAACGGCCATCTTGTATTCCTCGCCATGTGCTCGATTCGAAAGCTTCTCAACCGCGTGCACAGTGCTCTGTATGCAAAACCTGACCAGGATAATTTCCATATCAGCCCTCCGCCCCAACACACAAGTGACACCCCCAGTGCGACTCCCCAAAAGCAGTCGATTACATCTCTTAAGACAATCAGCGAGGAGCTCGATCGTCAATTGGAGGACTGGTTTGGCTCGCTCCCAAACCCCATCAGGCCAACACTGGGCAATTCAATATCCGCAGATCACCCTTACGACACTTACATTCTCGCCCGGTACTATGCCACAAAACACATCATCTGCCGTCCGAGCCTTGTTTTTGCTGCCCACAGCCAGGGCAGTACAGTATTGCCAGAGTTTATTTTCGCGAATTGCAAGAAGTGCGTTGATAGCTGTCGCAAATTCATCTGGGCGGCATCGCTTCTTATGATGCAGAGAACACACTCAAACTGGCATCGAATGCAAGCGTAAGATCATATCTCTCGGTCCAAGGTGGTTCCAGCAGGCGAAGTTTACTTACTTTCCACATCTAGAATTTTGGCTGCCATTTTTACTCTCTCGACTGCGAAAACCACGCCGGCTTTAGAGCCCCTTGTTCCGGACTTCGATGAGCTAGTGAAAGAAGCAATTCAATGCGTTGAACCATGGGCGCAGTATTGCGAGACCGCGGATACAGTCGTCAGCATGTTGAAGACAATCCGCCAGAAAGTGCGAGTGTTAGCTCGGGGAGCTTAGTAGAGAGTCCCTCGGTCTATACTTGGGTAAATATAGTATTTTGTTGATTCGCATTTGCATGTATATTTGTGAGTTTAAATGTGCCGAAGATCATCGAGACTACCATTTTAAGCCTATTGAATATATTGTCGTTTCAAAGAAGTCCACGGTGTGTTATCAGTAAGCCCGTGAACCCCACGCGCTGCGGGGGATTTCGGGAAAGCGTTCAACTCAGACAACACTTCACTTGCACAAGAATATGTCTCCGCCACGACTGACGAGCCAGATTAATTATATTCGTGGTGTTCGACTGGCAGGAGAGCCGTCCACCTGGGATATCCAGATTGGATACCCTACAGACTCTCCTCGAGGCACAGTCACCTCTGTGACCCCGCATGAATCCTCTACTAAGGATGATTTCGAGTCTCCTCTAGCCCTCCCAGCGTTGGTACACCCTCACATTCACCTCGATAAAGCTTTTATCCACAGCGCACCTGAATATGCCCCATTTCTACCTACAGCCGGCACATTTCAGGAGGCTTTGTCCTCCACGACCGAGGCCAAACAACAATTCAGCCATTCTGATATCATTAGAAGAGGAGAGTGGCTTCTTGCTGAGTCTGTTGCGTCGAGTGTCACCGCAATGAGAGCATTTGTGGAGGTAGACCATACAGTGCAGCTGATCTGTTTAGAAGCTGCTGTTGCTTTGAAAAACCAATGGAAAGATTCTTGCGATATCCAAATCGTTTGTTTTGCACAAGATCCTATATTCTCTAGTGAATACGGAGAGCAAAATATGGAATTTCTGGAAACTGCTCTTCATAAACATTCTCAAATCGATGTTATTGGGACAACACCATATGTCGAATCTAGCCCTGAGGCTGCGAAGCAAAACATCGAATGGGCGATTGATCGTGCCTTGAAGCTGAACAAACACGTCGACTTTCATCTCGATTACAACCTCGATTCAAAGAAAGAGGCTCTGGTCTGGCATGTCTTACAGACCCTCAAACAACGAAGCTGGACTATCCACTCAACAAACAAGCGTGTCATGCTTGGTCATTGTACACGACTGACATTGCTCACGGAGAAGGAATGGGCCCGACTGGCAACTGAAATCCACGAGAATGAACTCCCAGTCAGCTTCGTGGGTCTGCCAACAAGCGATATGTACATGGCGTCAACTCCCAGAATGAGCGGAGACTGCAAGCCTCCGCAAGATCGTCCGAGAGGCACTCTACAGGTCCTAGAGATGATCCGGAAATATGATCTAGATGCAGTGATTGGGGTGAACAATGTTGGTAATTCATTTACGCCATGGGGTTTGCCCGATCCGTTATCGTTGGCTTGCCTGGGTGTGGGAATCTACCAGGCTGGAAGTCAGGCGGATGCTGAGCTACTCTATGAATGTGTCTCGACACGAGCCAGGGCGGCTATCGGGCTCGCGTCCTATTCGGGTTTATGTGTAAAACAGGGGTGTCGGCCAGACTTGTTGTTGGTTCATCATAGAGATGATACTGGGTGTGGTGTGTCTCGGCCGCGAACAAATGTTGCGGAGGTTGTGTGGACTCCACCGGAGAAATTGAATAGGGATGTGGTTTCTGGTGGACGACTTAAGGTTTCTCCCTTTGCTGTAGCGGATTCAGACGCTCTGTATGAATTTTGATTTGGTTTCACACGACCGTGGCCGTCGAAGAAAGTGGTTATATGTACATAACGGTCCATGCGAATTGGGCGATTGAAAGATACGAATCTACACATTTCAGAGCGGAAATTTCAGACTGGTGCAAGCATGCGTAGAATTACTCGTTCGATAAGTAATAATGAATCCGTAGATACCAATATTGCATCATGGACGCTCAAGGATCAAATAGACACAAGGCATCGAGGGCTAATTGGTCGTCTTCGGCCGCAAGGCGTAGAACTGCACAGGCAAGAGGTTGAAAGACGGTGGGAAGCCCTTCTGGAGTTCCGACTTGACGACCTCCATGCCAGCCGCCTCGAAGACTTGTCTGAATTTCGCATCTGTCCTCGTGACACTGCTATCCTCGCTGTCGTACATATCTTCTTTGGAGAAATGCGTGGACAAGTTCTCCTTGAAGACCATCAGGCCATTTTCAGTCAATGCCTTGCGGCATCGCACGGTAGAGTCAATGAGCTGTGAATCGGTGAGGTGGCCCGCACACCACTGGACCCAGATCAAATCGTATTTCTTCTCTGGGATCCAGTCTTGAAGGCCACGCGTGTAGATGGTTCCAATGACGCCGTCTCGTTTCAATTGGCTGTCTTTCATCACTTGTGTGAACTTGGCTACCGGCTCTACCGCATCTACCACTTCACAGACGTGGCTCAGGAAGCCCTCTGTTACCCGGCCGACGCCAGCGCCACAGTCCACACCCCGGTGGAATTTGCCTTCAGACTGGAGTTTGGGTAGTAAACGGCGGACCTTGGCTAGGAAAGCTTTAGACCCCTGTAGATCAATGCGTGACACTGAAGGGAACTCGCCCAGCATGCTGGCCGTGGTGGCTGGCACGCTGTTCCAGTATTTTAAGGAGGCAGCATGGTCGATTTTGGAATCCGCCGCGACGTTTGACTCTGGCATGTTGGAAGTGACGATGTCTGTACAATTGTTTATCGGAACATCCGTAACTAACCTCGGAGGAGATGTCTTAGGTAATGAATGATGTGGACGCGGAAAATCTATCTATCCCTATCACGTGATCATGTAAGTGCAACGTACTCTACAACATCAACTGTCAGGATGTCCTACGCCGTACGTCGTACATTATATCTTAGAATGTACGGAGTACAACATACAGCAATAGACTCTATCAATATATACAGAGTATAATTCGCACACTTCATTGTGATTGGTTTCCTTTGTCTTTGTCTCACTAAATCTTCCCCCTGTGTTCTTGGCGATCGACTTTAAATCACCCTAATTGGCCTCATAAAGACGTGATACGCTAGACGAGAAAAGAAGACTTCGAGGTGGGCTGTGCTATGATCGACAGGGATAAAACGGAAAAATCTCGATCCCCAATAACCCTGGAACCCTCTTAGAGGACTCAGCTCGACAGGGCTTGGGGATTACGTGTAAACACTGGGGCGACACACCTGTTGAACCGACGTTGTGATTGGAAGTGCGCGCTAGAGCGTCTCCATAGGGTCAACTGCCGATCGTTCATAAATCATTTCTTCCCCTTATCTTCCCTTCTAACCACCTCTTTTTTTTCCTACTCACCACAGTCATTCTTTTATACTGTTTTTTTAACTTTCATCATGGCAAACGGTCGCTCGTCGCAGGATGAGCGTAAGCTGGAGGGCGGTGCTCCTGCCCCCAAGGACAACGGCCTCCACCCCGGCTTCTACATTGCGTACGTAACATCTACGTGAAGGCCTCGTCGAGCATGAAACTAAGACCCGACTCTCTAGCCTGTGGATTGCTCTGAGTTCCAGCGTCATCCTATTCAACAAATGGGTCCTTGCGAGTGCCAAGTTCAGTATGGACCCCTTATCTCTGATCCCCTATTCATGTTGGACTGTGCAGCTAACCGTTATTGATTCTAGACTTCCGTGAGTCCTTCCGCCAATCGAGTTTCAACCGCAACCGGAGGAATCAATTACTGACATGAGGTACCAGCGCTCTTCTTGACCACCTGGCACATGGTGTTCGCCACGGCGATGACCCAGATCCTCGCCCGGTTCACTACCGTGCTGGACTCCCGCCACAAGGTCCCTATGAACCCGGCCACCTATACGTGAGCAACTCCGATGAGATATGAAATAGCTAGGACGGCCGCAGTCCGACCGGAATGCTCGATCACTAACCGGTGGATTTGTGCAATGCAGACGCGCCATTGTGCCTATCGGTATCATGTTCAGTTTGAGTCTGATCTGCGGTAACCTGGCATACCTCTACCTGAGTGTTTCCTTCATCCAGATGCTTAAGGTGCGTTTGAACCTGGGGTTGACCTCAATTGTATTAATTGCGATCTCCGCCCACTCTTGAATGCTAGGCTCGACTCTATGCTAATATTCTCTAGGCTACCAACGCTGTTGCAACCCTGTTGGCCACCTGGGCTTTCGGAATCGCCCCTACCAACTTGAAGACTCTCGGCAACGTGGCTCTCATTGTTGTCGGTGTTGTGATTGCCTCGTTCGGCGAGATCAAGTTCGAAATGGTCGGCTTCCTCAGTATGTTATATGTCCTACTCATATATTTGACATTCTAGTCCTAACAACCTTACAGTCCAGATTGCCGGTATTGTCTTCGAGGCTCTTCGTCTTGTCATGGTCCAGCGTTTGCTCAGCTCCGCTGAGTTCAAGATGGACCCCTTGGTCTCTCTCTACTACTACGCCCCGGCCTGCGCCATCACTAACGGTGTCGTCACCCTTTTCGCTGAGGCTCCCCGTCTTACCATGGGTGATATCTACGGTCTCGGTATCGGAACTCTCATTGCCAACGCACTGGTTGCTTTCCTTCTTAACGCCTCTGTTGTTTTGCTGGTAAGTCATCTCATCCCACAGATAGTAACCACTTCGTCTAACACACCAATAGATTGGCAAGACTTCTGCTGTTGTCCTGACCATGGCCGGTATCCTCAAGGATATCCTCCTGGTCGGAGCCTCCATGTTCATTTTCCGCGACCCCGTCACTGCCCAGCAGTTCTTCGGTTACTCTATTGCCCTGGCTGGTCTGGTGTACTACAAGCTCGGTGCTGAGAAGTGCCAGAGCCTTGTTACCGATGTGCGCCTCCAGGTTGGTGAGTACAACCGCAGCAACCCTGCCCGTACCAAGGCCATCCTCATCGGTGTGCCTTGCGTTCTCATTCTGCTTGTTCTCTACAGTGGTAGCTCCTCCGCCCCCGCTGCTGCTGCTCAGGTGACTCACTAAGCACGAAAGAGCATACGTTGGCAAACTGAAGCAATCGATGGAAATTTGGAATACCCGGAGCACATTCCGCGTGGGCCTATTGTTTCACGAATCCAAGCTCGGGTAAATTATTCCGATGCTTATGTTAAATTTTGATAAAGATTGTGTCTTGTCTTGTCTGGACAGGACAGAACATGCATGTACAGGTAGGGGACATAGACGATATTTAGCTGTTTTCATTGGGGATAGGATTTATAATAAACGGCTGTATGAAATTGATATGTTGTATCAACTATATATTGAGTCCTGGTATTCCCTTCCGTACAATGATTGTAATTCAATGTCTCAAGGTAGACATCTTCGCTTGTATCATATTACTTTCATGGATAACGCTTGAACCAAATATCTACCAGGCCATAACAAACAGCCCCGACGGTAAAAGTAGCCGCAAAGACAGAAAACCCGACGACATATACAGGCGAGTCTTTTGCTGGAAACAGGGCAGTCCCATATAACTGCGCCAATCCAGCAACGGCAGGTATCCACGCGAGCATGATCGCACGAACATCACGAGTAACCGAAGCCAGAGACGTAGTAGAAAACGAAAGAGCAAGCGCGCTTCCCGTCCAGAGAGTCATGCTAATGAAGCACAAAAACACATATCGCGCAGTATTGTTTCGAATGCCCGCTATAAGAGCGAAAAACACCATCCCGACTATCATATCTCCCACCAATAGCTGTGCCCTAGCATGGGGTTTGCGGTCAGCCAACCAGCAAATAGGGATAGCCGCAGCTAGAGAAGTAATATAGAGCGGAGCTGTCATGTACTGCGCGGCGGTAGAGGTGTACCCCATCTCGTGGACCAACGTTGGATAGAAGTATGAGATAGCCCCAGCTCCGGATATGGTCATGTAGCCAGGGATCAGTACCCAGGTTCGCCAATTCAAGAGTGCTTTGAACAAGAGTACGAAGATCGAGGTGGTCTGGTTTTTCAAGTCGCCTTGGTCGGCGATTCCGTCTTTGAGGAGTCTCTGTTGGGCTAGCTTTCGTTCTTCGGGGGATAGCCCGCGACTGCTGTGCGGGTAGTCGAGTAGAGTCCAGTGGACGATCAGGCTTATCCCGGCAGTTGCGAGTCCTTCGACAATGAAGAGCCATCTCCAGCCGCGGATACCGTGTGCGCCATCTAATGTCGATGTGATAGCTCCTGAGATTACGCCCCCGAATGCTCCTGAGAGTATACCTGCGGTTAGGAAGATTATGAACCGTTTGGATCTGCTTCGAGTAAGTGATATTCAAGGCTGTGCTATTGTAGAAACAACCTACTGCTCGTTCTTTCGATACCATGTGGAAATTAAGAAGATCACGGCTGGCTTTATCAAAGTTAAAACCGGATTTATAATATCCATCGAGTCACTCACACTGAACCCTGCTTCGAAGACCCCAAGAAGGAATCTCAGGGCTATCAGTTGACTTTGATGACGGACAGCACCTATTAAGGCTGCGATAGATCCCCATGCGAATGTGATTATTGGAAGGAAAACTGATGGGCGAGTCCGAGAGAGAATCATGCTGAATCTAGTCTTAGCGCTTTTCATGTGGAAGACACAAAGCTCTCGTCTTACTTGGATGGCACGGCAGAGATAGTATAGCCAATCACCCATACTATCACGGCTGTATAGTATTGATCTGATGTGAGGTGCAGATCCTCTTCCATTCCGGCGATTTTTGCAAGACCAATGTTCGATCTGTCCTGGTACTTTTAGCGGAATATAGTTGGCAATTGATATGATAGATTGAAATACCATGTAGGAGAAAAGGTAAAGAATGAAGACTGAAGGCATCAAATAGAGATCGATCTTTCGGACGAGCTTCTTCTCGGCGTCTACATCGATCGTGATACAGGTATTCTCTGGGTGCAAAGCCTGGTGTTCGACAGATATAGACATCTCAGCATACACTTGCCAGGTCAAAGGGGGATATTGATATAAAAGCAGCCTTTTTCAACCACTTCTCATGTCTAGTCTGGAATTAGTGGACTTATATCATCAAATTTACGGAATCGTCGGTCTACAGGAAGAAAAAGGGTTGAAGATACTGAGTGGTTGTCGACGACCTTGTTCGATACGAACATTCCACAACATTGTTTGTCTCGTAACAAAGCCCAAATCAAAATATTTCAAGAATATGGCACATAGGACCTTGGTATGTCTACAACTATACCGAAGAAATCAACAGCTACCTATGTAGAGATACCATAGTCAACTGACTCTATAAATAGCTCAGACTAGAAGTCGTGTATTGTAGACCTATTTGAATCCGATACTTATTCATAAACGACATTTTTAATTATGAAAGCCCAAACTATTTACGCGCAAAGTTGGCCGTTCTTGTGTTCGTGGCTGTGGAAATGTGTCATTGTTGCGCGTTCGGGCCCAGACATGTCCCCAATGTCTTAAATTTCGCTCTTCTGAATATTCACTCGACATTTGTCCCTGCCCATCGAATTTATCACCTGGACAAAAGCGACAGAACAAATATCTGCCCATGGCGACCAATAGAGGGATTGTTGTCATATCAGGAGGGAGCGCGGCCAACAATCTCGTCGATGTATTCAACGCCGTCCGTGAAAACAAGAATTGTCCACTTAGCTACATCATCCCAATCAGTGATAACGGAGGATCCTCTTCCGAGTTGATTCGAATATTCGGTGGCCCTGGGATTGGTGATGTTCGGAGTACAACTTACGCCCAACACTTCGCATCTCCCCTTGCTAACTTGTCGGACAGGTCGATTGGTACGCTTGATTCCGGATTCGTTGACAAACCCTGAGAGGTCAGCCGTCAAGGCATTGTTTAACCATCGGCTGTCTGCGGAAGCAGGCATCGCAACCAATGAATGGCAGTCCATCGTGGACGGCACATCTGGGCTATGGACAGCTATCACCCCCGCCAAGAAAGAGTTGATACGCTCATTCTTCAATGTATTAAACCTGGAAATTCTGAAACGAGCCCGACCGCCATCATCAACCTTTGACTTCACCTCAGCAAGTGTCGGAAATCTTTTCTTGACTGCCGCCCGGCTGTTCAGTGGAAGCTTCGAAAGTGCCATCTACCTACTCGGGAGCATATGCGGCGTCCCGTCAGATCTGGTGCGCGTGATCCCAGCAATCAACTCCAATTTCTCACACCATATCTCTGCATCGCTTGCGGACGGAACTGTGATTGTCGGTCAGAATAGTATCTCGCATCCAAGCGAGGCGACGGCCCTCGAGCACAATCCCAGCTCCAGGAGACCAAGTCTGCTCCTTGCCGATGGCGACGATGACTATACGGATTCCGAAATGTCGGACCCGACAATATACGAAGAGGATCATCTTCCTGGCTCTCTGGCAACTCTCCGCAACAAGAATATCAAATTCAGTAAAACCGAGAATGAAGATTTGAGTTCTCGAATCACTCGCATCTGGTACATCAACCCCTACGGCCAAGAGATCCGACCACCCGCAAACCCACGAGTGCTTGAAGCAATAAACGACTCCCAGGCTATTATCTACAGTATCGGATCCCTCTACACGTCAATCATCCCTGCTATCATCCTGCGAGGCGTCGGTAAAAGCATCGTTTCCAGTCCCGCCCGACACAAAATCCTCATTTTGAACGGATCATTGGATCGGGAAACAGGGCCTCCATCCGCACCATTTGTCGCGTCTGATTTTGTGGAAGCAATTGTAAGCGCCGGAGAAGAGAGCCGTGGACGGGGTCCGATTTTTCATTCTCAGCATCAAAGTCACAACTCAGCGACTACTTCGGTGCAAGAAAATGTTCGAAATTATAGAGCCCTTCCTTATACCAACTATGTGACTCATATCTTGCATCTGGATGGTCCGGGGACACCGCATGTGGACCGTGAGCGGCTCACACATATGGGCATTGAAACGCTTCGTCTCTATGGGCGAAAAACCACGGCCAAGGATGGAGATAAGGAGACCGTTGTGGGGATGCAATATGACCCCAATGCCCTTGTGCAGGCCATTGAGGTGGTATTGGGGAAGAAAGGGGATGCAATGGTTCGTGGGGGATTGGGAAATGCGCTAGGTCGACGGAATACACTTGATCCTGCAAGAAGAGACCGAAAGGATATGCAATAGTGTCTATTTAGAAGTTAATATTGTACTATAATAGTTCGAGGTACAACTACATCTACACACCATATTAATCAATGGAATCCATGGATTTGGAACTCCATTTGTCAATCCCAGCTCGTGAACGCTTATGCAAAACCCTGAAAAAATACCACCCATGCCCATGCTCCGATTCGCAATGCCGCAAGAGTCGAGAGAAAAACAAAGATTTGAAGAGAATAAGGAAGCGGATATAAAGGCTCTATGGGCCAGATACGGGAAGATCACTTCGCTTTTTTGTTAGAAACAACAGCGGAATGAGATTCTTAGACTTCCCCGGCATCTCCTTTCGCGAAATCGGTGTGCGGCACACTGGGCAGGTCCCCTTGTGTTGTTTTGAAGAGTCACCGCCACGTGTCTGCTCGCTCATCTTCAAGCAGTCGATAATGCACTTGTGACAAAAGAGATGTCCTAAAGATAAGGAGTCAGTAGAAGCCCTAGCATGCCTAAATCCAGTATAGTAGAGAATCAAGAACATACCGCACGAGGTACTCGTTGCGTCCACGGGCGTTTCCATGCAAATGGGACATTTATAAGAAAGTAGAGCGGAAAGGCTTGAATCACTCTCCGCTGAAGCCTGCGCTTTTATAGCATCCTCCCTCTGTTTGGCCACTGTTCGAGCGAGTGCGGCCGCGCCTGAGTCGTCGGTCATGTCGATTGTTTCGATGGGCTCGTTTTCGGAGAAAGCCGAAGGGGATGCGAAGGATCCGTCGTGCTCATCGTTCCAATTACGGCGACGCTTGACGCCGCGGGTAGTAGTGAACTGTCCATGTCGGGAAGAGGTTGCATGGTCCGGGGCGGCAGGCGGGGAGGAGGATAAAGAGATAGGATTTCGCCGTGATGATCTGGTTGTCAGGTCGACAACATCAGCCCTGTTTCTGCTCATTGTAACAGAGTGGGAAGTAAGACTCTTTCAAAGAGGTTTGCGTTAAGGTTGAGCGAGGGCAATAGTCTGGAGTTGGGAAGGAAAGCCGTATGCAGCTCTGTGCTGCCGTGTGGGAGAGGATGTGAAAAGATCTAGGATTAATGGCCGACGAACAGCCTCAGGAGTTTGGAAGATTTCGCTAAGACAAAATGCAGCGACCGTGGGTTTAAGAAGAAGAAATTTGTCGGCAAAATCGGGGCCTTTCAGCGATCAAAGCAGATGATGGCGACAATGCCGGCCAGCATATGGGTCTTATCAAATAGGTCATGTGGCGATAGGGGATCAGATAAGCCCGCTTCGTATTGTGTATCTATAAATGGAAGGCGGTCAGGGGTGACCGCCAGATACTACTGCGTCACATCACGTGAAAAGTGTCTACAAGTAGAAGGCGGTCAAGTATACAGGGAAAACAATATTCCGACCTGCATGACGCCCGGATCTGCGATAGGCGATGATATGGAAATTAGCTACGTCCATCTTCATACCTCTTTTTTTCGGATTTTTTTTCAGGCTACTAGTGCAGCCTTACGGCTGTCGCCACACTTCTAACATGACCTAAAATTGCCAAATTCTTATTTAGGATGTTATCTTGGAAGTTCTCCTGCACTCCTTGTTCCAAGGGTGCCGTGGAATCTTTCTTGCGACGAAGCTCGCCGTTCCTGGTTAAGCCGCCATCGTGCTACCAATTAGACAGAAGTCATACAAGATTATTCTCCACTTCCGCCGACAATGTGACCACAAGACGATCTCTTTCTGGTGGGTGCCCTGTCTTTTGCGCTTCTCGATAAGAAAACAATCAAATCGCAATTACTGATCTCGCGCAGTCCCTTCCTCATCCAGATTCAATGACATCGGAGTCCAACAGCTCAGCGACCATGTCCATGCTCAAGTTTTCCCAAACAAAGGTCGCGTTCCGGACCCAGCACTAGTCGCTCTCTCGAAGGATCATTTGGCTCGACATGAGCTCCTGGGCAAATCTCAAAATGGCGCCGGTCCTATCGCATTCGATCTTCCTGCTCTCAAGGGGCAAACGTTGGACGAACACTTCTACAAACTTGGAATGGATTCTTCCGAACCGTACCTGTCATGGGCTAAGTCATATGCGGCTCTTACCTGTCCGGCCAAACCACGCAAATGGGTCCAACGCAGCGGATGGACGAAATACCACACTGACGGCACTTCTGAGCCTGTCGACGCACCAAATGAATCAATGATAACATTCGACACCGAGGTCATGTACAAAGATAATCCATTTGCGGTCATGGCCTGCGCGGTAAGCCCGACAGCTTGGTATGCATGGATATCACCGTGGCTACTTGGCGAGTCAGAGAATCAAGTCCAGCTGATACCCTTGGGAGACCCCACTCAACCTCGCATTGTGGTTGGCCACAATATTGGTTACGACCGAGCCCGAGTCCTTGAGGAATACAACATGCAGCAGTCTCAAAACTTCTTTCTCGACACAATGTCCCTCCACGTGGCGGTCAACGGCATGTGTTCGCAGCAGCGACCGACTTGGATGCGCCACAAAAAGAATCAGGACATGAGAGATAAAATCGCCAATGACCACGATTCTGTAGAGCTTGCCGCACTTCTCGAAAACAACATGTTGAGAGAAGAAGAGGAGGAGCTTTGGGTTGGGCGAAGCTCGGTGAACTCCCTGCGTGATGTGGCCAAATTTCATTGTGATGTCACCATCGATAAGGCGCAGAGAGATCTGTTCGGTGAACTTGATCGTGACTCTATTGTGGGCAGACTGGAGGAACTTCTCGACTATTGTGCTGCCGATGTTGCCATCACCCACCGTGTCTACCGAAAGGTTTTCCCCAATTTTCTCGAGACTTGCCCGCATCCCGTCAGTTTCGGCGCTCTTCGACACTTATCCTCTGTCATTTTGCCAGTCAATGAATCATGGGAAGAGTATCTTACCAGCGCAGAGGAAACATATCATAAGCGGCTTGACGATGTCCAGAGTAAATTGCTAGCACTATGCGACGAAGCATTGAAGTATAAAGACCAACCAGACATTTACACGATTGATCCTTGGCTACAACAGCTGGACTGGTCCGGCCAAGAGATCAAAATGGCCAAAGGAAAGAAGAAGGGTGATCCTCCTCGGCCGGCAGCAAGGCAGAAGAAACCAGGAATGCCCAAGTGGTACAAGGATCTTTTTACCTCAAACGCCGCCGATATTAACTTGACGGTGCGAACTCGCATTGCGCCAATTTTGCTTAAACTGTCCTGGGATAGCTACCCTCTTGTTTGGTCGGACCTGCACGGATGGACTTTCCGCGTTCCCCGTGATCAAATCAAACAGTATGAGAATCAGCCAGTCGTCATGTGCGATATGGCAGAGGAAAAGAACACCGAGTTGCGAGACGATAGAAAAGTTATATACTTCAAAATCCCCCACAAGGACGGCCCACAGGCCAGGTGTACCAATCCGCTTGGCAAGGGGTATATGCAGTATTTCGAACGTGGGATCCTGTCATCTCAGTATGAACTTGCCAAACAAGCGCTGGATATGAACGCGTCATGCTCTTATTGGATCAGCGCCCGAGATCGAATCAAGGGTCAAATCGTGGTCTATGAAGATCAGGCGCAAAAAGGCGGAGAGAAAAGTGAAGCCGGCGATAATCGTGTCGGATTCATTCTGCCTCAAGTCATTCCAATGGGAACCATCACTCGACGCGCCGTGGAAAATACTTGGTTGACTGCAAGTAATGCGAAGGCAAACCGTGTTGGATCAGAGCTAAAGGCTATGATCAAAGCACCGCCGGGCTACTCGTTCGTTGGAGCCGATGTCGACTCCCAGGAATTATGGATTGCAAGTCTTGTCGGAGATGCCCCATTCCAGATTCACGGAGGAAACGCAATCGGCTTCATGTGCTTAGAAGGGTCTAAGGCTGAGGGGACGGATCTTCACTCACGAAGTGCGTCGATTCTGGGAATCTCGCGAAATGACGCCAAGGTCTTCAACTACGGCCGAATCTACGGGGCAGGCGTCAAGTTCGCCGCTACTTTACTTCGCCAGTTCAATCCGTCTCTAACTGAAAAGCAGACACAAGAGACTGCCAAGAACTTGTACAAAGAGACTAAGGGAACGCGCACTTCACGTCGCCTCTTGAGTGAGACGCCGTTTTGGCGAGGTGGCACTGAATCTTTTGTGTTCAACAAACTCGAAGAGTTCGCAGACCAGGAACGACCTAGAACCCCTGCTTTGGGTGCTGGCATCACCGAGGCGCTCATGCGGCGTTTCATTAACAAAGGCAGCTTCATGACATCCCGAATCAATTGGGCCATTCAGTCGTCGGGTGTCGATTATCTTCACCTCTTGATCGTTAGCATGGACTATCTTATCCGACAATTCAACATTCAGGCCCGCTTGGCCATCACTGTTCACGATGAAATTCGCTACCTTGTCAAAGATGAGGATAGGTATCGCGCTGCAATGGCTTTGCAGATTGCCAACGTTTGGACTCGTGCCTTATTCTCTCAGCAAGTAGGAATCGATGACCTCCCCCAATCATGTGCATACTTCTCGGCTGTTGACATTGACCATGTCCTTCGCAAAGAAGTCGACATGGACTGTGTGACCCCTTCTCATCCTCACAAAATCCCGCATGGTGAAACGCTGGATATTACTCAGCTCCTAGACAAGGATCAGGAAGCTTTCTTGGACCCATCCATTACACCCCAGTCGCCTCCAAACCCCGACAAATACCCATACACTCCACGGGAGTCGGTCATGTCCGCTTTCCAAGCTTCTAATGACATTGATTTCATCAAAGCTCAAATCACCAAAGATGACAAAGAGCTTCGCGATATCATCAAGGAGAAGACACGCGCAGCTATTAGTGTCAACGCTCCTGCTCCTCGCACCCCTTCTACCAAACCGAAAGGTAAATCTACCAATTGGAGCTCAGCAAAGCCCCAGCGGGCGGTTCTGATGGAGATGGAGTCAGGCCTCTATCCCGACTTCCACGGCTCCCGGCCTAGTTTTCATGGGAATAAACAGCCTCAAATTGGACTCCACCGTCCTCCCTGGAAACCACGGGCAATAGCCCGAGTATAATGCTGTCTCCCTCCTTCTCTTTCTCTCATTACCTTTATATTCTCTTTGGCAGCCTTTTTTTACTGTAATTATTTCTCTGCTTTCCCTATCTTGTTTAACTATTGTGGATGTTGTTATATCTGGAGTGATTGGAAGCCAGCATTGGGACGGCGTTACTGTATGGTGCATGGTGATGTGATGTGATGGAATGGAACCCGTGTACTTATATGTACTTGTACGAATCTATCTCAATGAGTTCAAGAGTCCTTATATGTACTCCATAGCCTATGCTGGACACGTATGAAGTAGAGTGCCTTATAGGGCTGTGCCCGTCCATCCTCTCCCTTAAAATAAAATAAGGCGCTCCGCCCCCTGTGTACGGGAAACCCCCTGTTTCCTATTATTTTTCTTTCTTTTTCCTGTTTACTATTTATTCTTTGCTTTCGTTCCTTCGATTTTCTCGTCTTTGTTATCTTTCATGTTAAAATTCAGCCTTTCCATTTGACCGGTTTTGTCTTAACTATTTCTGTAGGACGCGGCAGAAAACGGCTCTTCGACGTCATATCCCGCACGCATCAACATGTTCTCCCCCGAAGTGGTGTCTCGATGAGAGGTGCACCAATTGTACAAATATCCTGGGTATATACCCACCAGGCATTGACCAACCCCTGGGCCGGGTTCACATCAGTGAGCCGCAGCATATCGAAGTCCGGAGCCGATGAGAACCCGTCATTCCACCGTCACGATTAGATGTGCGCATCTATATAAACCGTGAAGATGAGCATACACTCAGTCGATTATGCACAGCAGGGTCCGACACGACCCGAGGTCGATGTTGAGGCGGGCCGCCCGTCAGTCAGTTCCCAAGTCGCTCCAACAGTAGGAGAGAGAGAGGGAGCCGCGTCTCCCGCATTCACCACAGCAGCACGAGTGAACTCCACCGAGACGACAAAACGCCGAGCCAGACGCAATACCGCCCGCTCATACCACCCCGAAGGATTCGCACAAGATCCCAATTGGCAACCAGGAACCGAACCCGGCATTGACCCAACCAAGCCGCTACCGCCGTACACGTCAGAATGGGCGTCCAACATACCCGCGGACCTACAACGACGCTGCCAGATTACGGTGGTGGACTTCTCACAACATGAAATGCGACAGTATGAGTTGGACAATGACACACTGGAGCAATTTTTGCAGCGGGAGAAAGAGCCCTGGGTGCAATGCCGGTGGATCAATGTCAATGGGTTGAGCTGGGATGTGATCAAGATTCTTGGAAATCATAAGAGATTGCATCGGCTTGCAATTGAGGATGTTGTCCATACCACTAACCGCACGAAAGTGGATTGGTACTCGGACCATGCCTTCGTTGTACTGACATTGCAAAAGTTGGTGAAGATACAAGAAGAGGACTCCTCTGATTCGGAAGATGAGGAGGAAAATCCAGTCAGTCCATGGAAGTCAAGGGACCGGAAAAGTTCTGTGGTCAGTGACAAGAGCTCGATTTCGTTGAGGCGACCCACGAAGTGGAGTGTTATTATGGCGGCATTGAAGGACATTTTCAGGTTCAGATCCTCCACAAGACAGGAGCGCAAGGATATGGCGAAATATGGATCGAGCGTTCGTCCTGGGCTTGGACAAAATTCAACACAAAATTCAACACAAAATTCCCATTTTGGAAATGTTGGGGCCAACACAGACACATCTGCCAGGAGTCTTCAGCGATATCGCGGCGGTCCCAATGAAGATCGAATTGAGTTCATGGAACGCCATGCTGCACTTTCTGCCAAAGGATTATGTGTCACTTTGGAACAAGTTTCGATCTTCCTACATACCGATAATGAGGTGACCTCCTTTTTCGAAACGAGCGCGGATGACATCGAGTCGCCAATTGTCAGGCGCCTCAATACGCCAGAGACTATCCTTCGACAGTCATGCGATGCCAGTATGCTTTTGCAGGCCATTCTGGATGCTGTGATTGATCTTGCGATTCCAGTCACGATGGCTTATCAAGACGCCATCGGAGACCTCGAGCTGGAGGTTCTGACTGATCCAGACATTGAACAGTCAAAGTCCTTATATATTTTGACATCTGAGATTGCTGTTCTGCGGAACCATATGCAGCCTATAGTGGCTGTGATTAACGCTCTCCGTGATCACCGGTCTGAGCCCGTTGGCACACCAGGCTTTGGTGTCCTACGGAATCCCCTTAGCCCAGTTGCAACTCCTGCAGAATATCTTGATCCCCGCCCACATATTGGGACTGTACCGCCAAATCTGAAGAGTGTTGGAGGCACAGGTGTTACGATCAGCTCTATGTGCCATACATATTTGGGCGATGCCCTAGATCATTGCATTACTATCGTTGAAGGGTACGATCAGATGCGGCGCAACGCTGATAACATGATTGACCTCATTTTCAACACTATTGGTACGTTCAACTTCTATGGATAATTCAAGAAAAACAACGGACTAATATCCTGTGCAGGTGCCTACCAGAACGAAAGTATGAAGCAGCTTACTCTTGTGACTTGTCTTTATCTTCCTATGACATTCTTGACAGTATGTATGACTTGAAACTATTAAGAAAATCCTCTAACAGTTTTAGGGTTATTTCGGAATGAACTTCACGCATTTCGCGGGAATCGAACACAGTGAAGGGTATGTCTTTCAACCCCTTTCTTCTAGACTTGTTGCTGACTTTAGAAGATATTTCTGGAAGATTGCGGTACCGTTCGTCCTCGTTACGATTTTCTACCTGATGTAAGTTCTGATATTCCTGTCGAAAACAGCCGACACTAACCTGCATCTTTAGGCGCGACAAAATCCAACGCTACGCTGTCATGCTTGCTCAGCGACGTTTGATTGTTAGCTCGAGGAAGCAGAGACAAGAGAGGACGAAGAAATAGATCCTGAACGTCCTACAGCTCGCTGTCCCAATCATTGTATAAAGGCGTTGCTGCGTGCGGGGTTTGCTTGATTTTTATACATTTTATTGCTCAGACCTAGTCAGGTCTTGTACAGATACTTTTCACTTGGACAGTATTTAGAACTCATTTGTTGATAGTATGATTTCAGAGATCAGTGTATGTATATTTCACTGTTCAACATTGCATCGTGGTAACAGTTTTAACATTCCTCATGTACAAAAGAAGTCATCAACGGTCCGAAACCTGAAGTAGTATATTACACATATTATACATGGCCTACATGCCATTATTCTAGAGACTTCCGTCGATAGGCCGAGTAAGCCTTCCACGGAAGTCTCCAGTCTGACCGAAGCAAATCCGGACTGAAAACATCAAAGTCTTGCTTTTCAAGGCGATCCAGCCACAGGCGCGTGCCGACCGCGGGTAGGAAAACGCCAAATGCCCGGTTGACCTCTTCGAGAGGTGACTCGCTGCTCCGAGCACCAGGGGAAAGGTCGTATTCATGACCCTCTTCGCCTTCATGCTCAAAGTCATGGCCGACATCCTCCCCGGCGCGGAGGTTGTTCAACATCTGCTGCGCAGTAATCAAATGATCACTTGCCCGTGTCGCAACAGTGAAGACTGCATCCCGGAGACCCTCTGCTTGAGCTCCATATCGAAGGACATCCTCCTCTTTAACACCAGCTTGTGCCATAACATCTAGAGGCAACATTACGGCTCCTTGTTTCGCACCCCCTCCTAGCGCGGGACCCGCAGCCCCAGGAGGCGCTTGAGCAGGTGGCGTAGGGAACGCAACAAACGGCAGTCCACGTAACACAGCCGCAATCCCCACTGCCTTTCCAATATGAGATGCAACATGATCTGCAGTTATCGAGGCCATGGGCAATGCCGACAGAGTGAGGTACATTAGTGTCGAGTATGTATTCTCGGCGTAGGACTCCAGCGCGGCGATATTTGGGTATGGGTCGTTTGTTAGAGTTCGCTCCCGCGAGTTAATTATACGGGTCAGCCAGCCCTTGCTTATGTGCGCGCGGCCCTGCGTGCGCTCGTGGAGGTCGGAGATGGCGGATGCAAGCAAGATAGCGACGGGTTCTTTTGGTGGTGTGCCGGCAAGAATCTTCGTTACTGAGTCGCGCCAGAATTGAAGTCGCATCAGTCCGATTGTGGGAGAGGAGGTGGTGTCGGGTATCATGGAGAGGGAGACGTTTAATGCGCGCAGCGCAATGTAGAAGGATTGCGCATGTCGTGGGATGAAGGTGCTCAGTGTGTAGGAGGGGCGGTCATATTTTCTGTGGGAAGAGAATTATGTTAGCTTCTGAATTTATTTCCATGGGAGCTTCAGTAGGCTTTGGTGACCATAAGGACGGTGTTTCATACGAGAGAAGAGCAACGCAATATTTGTGAGCGCCTTGGACTTGTTCTGCGGTAATGGGTGCGGCAATAGATTGTGTCCGGCTGAAGTGTCGTTTTTGGGATTGGAAGCTTTGCAGATAAAAAGTGCAGGCTCTCTTCGCCTGGCATGGCCGAGCTGTCCTGAGAAAAGACATGCTCAATGTGAAGTCGACAAGCTCTGGGGAAAAGATTCGATGTAATCGGGGCAAAGGCATTGGCCGGCCAATCTTTGTCAGCGATGCCCTGGCCACCTCAGAATTGGAGAATAAGAGAATTATATTAAAGAATCATAGTAAACCGGCGTAAATTCAAGAAATTCAAAGAAGGAGAATTCATATATCTTGAACAGTGCAGATATCAAAAATCCATTAATATTTTCCCTTGAGGACTGACGTCGATCCGCTGGACTGTAATTTGGCCCATTTCGGCTGCCGTACTCTCCGCGTTTCTCGCCGCGTCTCTCGGCGCGTCTCCTCCGAGCCCACCTTTTTTCTTCCTCGTCACGAAGCTCGATGTACAGCCAATATGAGCGAGGATGTAGAGCAACACCCAGCAAAGAGACAGCGTTTCTTCGCTGACTCTCCATCCTCACCGTTACCCACCAAACCCCAAGATACAGACGCGTCCCTACCTCATTGCCCGAAACACGAGATTCTGTCAATCGACCGCATTCCAAAAAGCCCTCTTAATTTGGAAAATGGAACAGATCAGAACCATACACAAGTCCGAATGACGGAAAGCCTAGGGTCACCCATTGCGGATGCTGCGCCTACTCCCTCTCCACGCCATAATGGATTAGACCAACAAAGCGAGGAAGTAACGGTCAACTTCACAAACACGATCACAGATGGCTTCGATGTCGACCTTTTCACCAGTATCGTAGGAGAGCAACTACCTGCCGATTCAATCAAAACTATTCAATCGGCTGCTTCCAATAACATTGAGCGAGCTGTTAACATATACTTTGATGGATCATGGAAGAAGCCTGTACGGATAAATGGCAGCGTTCCGGCCAGAAGCCGGAAACCCCATCTTTGTGTACAGCCTAGCCCTGGTACACCAGTTGGAAGTGAATCGGTACTGCCAAATCAGCCACCAGCAAGGTATATTGGCGCATTTGGCGTGGGAGGATGGGCAACGAGAAGTGGCTTCGGATTTCTCAAGCATGGAGACCCTGTCCACATTGAACGCGCACGCTCGCAGCCAACTATGAAACGTAGCCGAACAGGCAGAGCATTTGTCAATCACAAAAGCGATGTTTTGACTCGATTCACGAATACCTCGGGGCAAGAAATTGGAAGGCTGCCACATGAGACCGCTGAATGGGTTTCTACGCTGATTGATCAGAAGATCTGTCGGTTTGAAGGAGTCTGTGTGTTTGTACCCGACAAGGTGCGAGTCAACGATACCATATATCTACAACTCCGAGTCTACTTGCGAAAGGAAGCCTTTCAAAGCGCGGCGCTCAATGCTCTTAACACTGATGACAACCGATCCACTGGACTGTTTGAAGAGAAGGAGAGCACCGAGGAGAAGAATCTGCGACTACGCCAAGTCGGTCTAGTGAAATTGTTTCAGGAAATCAATCTTCATCCTACGTCGACCAACCCGACTACGGAAAAGCACAAAAGAGATGGCATTTTGCGTGCCGCTGAAATTGCAGAACAATATGACAACGTGAAGAACAAATCAAATAAGGATGCCAACGACTCATCAGGCGGAGACGACAGCGAAGAACTGGAAGAAGGTCAGCTCGATACGTTGTATCAAAAAGCTCAATCTTTCGATTTCAACATGCCAGCGGCAGATCCAGCACCTAGCTTCACCCTTGATCTGCGCAAGTACCAGCAACAAGCCCTTCATTGGATGATATCAAAAGAGAAAGACTCAAAGCAGACTCGAGAGAAGTCAATGCATCCATTGTGGGAGGAATATATTTGGCCCAGGAAGGATGTTGACGAGAAAGATTTACCGCAGGTCAAAAACATCGACCATTTCTATGTCAACCCATATTCGGGAGATCTCAGTGTTGACTTTCCTGCTCAAGAGCAACACTGCCGAGGGGGAATCCTGGCCGATGAAATGGGTCTGGGAAAAACCATTGAGATGCTCAGTCTGGTCCATTCTCACAGAGTTGAGCCTGATCCACAGGTTTCGAATGGTATTAGCTCGGTGAACGACCTTGCTATGATGCCAAACTCCTCTGGGGTGGTGCATGCGCCGTACACCACTCTGGTAGTCGCACCAACATCCTTAATCTCTCAATGGGAAAGCGAGGCACTCAAAGCTGGGACGTTAAGAGTTCTTGTTTATTACGGGTCGGACAAGGCTGTCAATTTGAAAGATTTATGCCGCGAATCCAATCATGAAACAGCTCCACAGGTGATTGTCACCAGTTATGGTGTGGTATTGTCGGAATTCCGCCAGCTCGGTCTCCAGTCGTCTGCTCCGGGCCTCCGTGCAAACGGGGGTCTATTCTCTGTGGAATTCTTCCGAGTAATTCTTGATGAGGCTCATGTGATCAAGAACCGCCGTTCCAAATCTGCTAAATCGTGTTATGAGTTAAAAGCAGCCCACCGGTGGGCACTGACTGGCACACCCATTGTCAATCGCCTTGAGGATCTCTTCAGCCTGGTGCGTTTCCTCAAAGTGGAGCCATGGAGCAATTTCTCCTTCTGGAAGACATTTATCACCGTGCCATTCGAATCCAAAGAATACGTGCGGGCCCTGAATGTCGTGCAAAGTGTACTGGAACCTCTTGTTCTTCGGCGAACTAAATCGATGAAAACTCCGGAGGGTGAGCCACTGGTCCCTTTGCCCAAAAAGACAGTCACTATTGAAGAGGTGGAGTTATCTCAGCAAGAACGAGAAATTTACGACTGCATATTTACCCGAGCGAAACGAACATATAATGACAACGTCGTGGCTGGCACATTATTGAAGTCTTACAGCACAATCTTCGCTCAAATTCTCCGCCTTCGTCAGACCTGCTGCCACCCGATAATGACACGCAACAAAGCCATTGTTGCAGAAGAAGAGAGTGCGGCGGTAGTGGCTGATGCAACCAATGAGTTCAAAGATGACATGGATCTTCAAGAACTCATTGACCAATTCACGGCAGAGAACGAGAATGCCGACTCTCAGGATACCTCCAGAACGATGGTCAAGTTCACTGCCCATGCTCTCCGGCAGATTCAAACCGAGTCTAGTGGCGAGTGCCCTATCTGTTGTGAAGAGCCTATGATCGATCCAGCTGTAACAGCGTGCTGGCATAGTGCGTGTAAGAAATGCCTGGAAGACTTCTTGCAACACCAAATGAACAAGGGCGTCAAGGCACGATGCTTCAACTGCCGTGCCGCAGTGGATGCAAAGAATACCTTTGAAGTAGTACGACACCCGTCCTCAAATTCAGTTTCCTTCGGAGACGACACTGTGAGCAGCACGCCGCCAACCAGCTCCCAACCTGCCCCCCGAATCTCCCTCCGTCGCATATACCCCCTATCTCCTTCCGCCCATACTTCAGCCAAGATCCACGCCCTTATTAATCATCTCGGACGCATCCCTGCAAATACCAAATCTGTTGTCTTCTCCCAATTCACATCTTTTTTGGACTTGATTGGCCCACAACTCTCCAAAGTCGGAATCTCCCATCTCCGCCTCGATGGCTCGATGCCCCAAAAGGCCCGTGCCGCTGTTCTGGCCGAGTTTACAAAAGCAGAAAGCTTTACCGACGATGACATCGTCGACATGGAAGACGATACCCCAGGGAGAAGCTGGCCTGCAAAGTCTAGCTCTCCCTCATCCCCAACGCCAGCCCCTACAGTCCTACTCATCTCCCTGCGTGCCGGCGGCGTAGGGCTAAACCTGACCACCGCAAGCAATGTTTTCCTGATGGATCCATGGTGGAGTTTTGCAATTGAAGCACAAGCCATCGACCGCGTCCATCGAATGGGCCAAACACGCGATGTCAATGTGACGCGATTCGTGGTCAAGGATTCCATAGAAGGCCGCATGCTGCGCGTGCAAGAGCGTAAAATGAATATTGCTGGCTCGCTTGGGTTGAAGATTGGCGGCGATGATAGTGAATCTGACAAAGGGAAGAACAGACTTGAAGAGTTGAAAATGTTGTTCGAGTGATTGTTTCGATGGCTTAATGGTTGCTTGCTTCTGTTTACACTTGGGATACCCTGCTCCGGCGTGTGGATTTGAGATTGAAATTGGACTTTGGTCAAATGTAAATTACCATTTATTTCCAATTTATAGCCCTTGAAATTTCATTTTGTTCTTTTGCATCACATTTACAACGAGGAGGTTAGATGATTGGAACACAATTGGATATTAATACACCTGAACGAAATAAGGCGTGTCAAATAAACAAGCCGGCATAATATAGACATAACTCTCAAAAATTCCAAAAAGGCAGATCCGAAGTCAAAGTAACTGAGGCATCATCACAATCACAATTTCATAGATCCGTTGTAAACAAAGATGCTGCCCTTATTTGCTCGAATGATGAAGATGCTTCTTGACGCTCTCCTTCACCTTTGAGAGCTTCCCGTTCTTCTCGCCATTTTCAGGAGAAGGCTCAGGCTTCAAAGGCGACTTCCCGCTAGATTCACTTGGAGAATCTATAACAAAAAGTCAGCACCAAATACGACAGAAAGCGAGCACAGGAAAAGGGAAACATACTGGTCTCAATATCCTCATCTTCTGCTGCAGGCTTCTTTCCCCTATACTCCTTCTCGAAGTCCTCAGCAGGCGTCGGCGCAGGACCCTGCGGGCCTTTGAGCGCCTCTTTGCTCACGTCATGGGTACGGCTTGTGTGGGGAGCTTCGCTGCTCTCGCCACCTTCAGCCTGTGAAGTGCTGCGCTGTTCTTGTTTAGAACTGTTGTCATCATTGCTCCCGGTGGCTTCTGTTGAGTCGTTGGAGACAGGCTTCTTTTCCTTGCTTTCGCTGTCTGCTGTAGATCCGCTGGAGATAGGCTTGGTTTCTTGGCCTTCGGTGCCTGCTGTAGGGCCGTCGGAGACGGGCAGAGCGGGGGTGATGCTGGTGCAAGCGGTGAGAGAGCTAGGGGCATGGGGGGTAGTGATGCTAGTGACCTCGGGCTTTGATTGATTGTTGTCCAGGTGGGCATTTAGGGGTGCGGTGTTGGCGTTTGAGTGGATTGCGCCGGGTTGCTCTGTGGATGGATTGTTAGATATATTGGTCAATTATGTGTTTTAGGGTTTGTATAAACATATGCTTATATTGTACTTACCATCGCGGTTGCCGCCATCATAGGGGTCGGTGATACGTCCTTGGCCTTGCACACCGGAGGCGGGCTCTTCGCCGTGCTGTTGGGCATTATTGGAGTCATTCTCGCCCCAGATGGCAGTCGAAGCAGCGTTGACGTATTTGGTGACAGTCTCCATGATTGTATCGTGGTGGTATAGTTCAGATGTCGAATGGGTATAGAAGATATAAAGGATGATAGGACAGCAGATGAAGTATACTAAGTAAAGGATGATGATAATAGCAAGGTGAAATGAAGTGATGTTTGGTATACTCGAAATGTAAGTGGCGAGTGGGCTGAATGCTTAGAAGCTCTGGGCAGGTCAAGCTTTAAGAACCCACAGGCTGAGGCCGCGTTGTTCAATACGTCAGTGGTATTGGGCCACGGTGGCTTGCACATGGAACCCCAGTCTTTCGTAAGACCCGATATAATATATAAACTGGACTGCTAAGAAAGCGGCGATCCTCTGGGCGTATGTCATAGAGTGACGTCAAGCAATATATATCATGTGACCTCATACTACAGCAAGTAGCAACAAATAGATGCACAAGGTAGTAATAATAGAACTAATCTAGCCTGCTCATAGCCAATTGACTAGTGTATTAACAGGTAAACATAAAACACAAATACAATCCAAACAAAAGGACTCGATGTCTGAACGCTTAGCAAGAAAAATATCAAAACGTGGAGGAACAAAGAAAGAAGAACAAAGAAACTCCCTTGAAAGTAAAGCAACAGTAAATCTAATCATGAGGTATTCGTAGGTGCAGGAGTGGAAGTTCCCTCCTTTGCATTTGCACTCAACGGTTTGGTCGGGTCATAACCGATGCTCTTAACAATTCCCAGTCCTTTCGTTTTGCCCTCACGAAAGAGGACACGGTCCCCGGGGGCTAAGAACTCCGGACGCTGTACGAATCTAAATGCGACCAACGCTCTATCTCCAGTACGAATGAAAGGGCGATCGATGTCAATGACTGAACATGTCTGACTGACTGCCCCGACATGAAGCATAGCCTGGTATTTAGGCTTGATGGTAGTTGCATGCGAAAGAATTAGGACTATTTTCATTAGCATGTGGTCAATAAAACCTGAATTGACGACTTACCCTCCGCGACGAATTCCCGATACACCTTTGGAGGCGCATCCATCTTTTTCAATACTACCATCCCCTTGCGCACTTCCTTCCGGCGGACGCGCTTCAGGGCAAAAGACCCAGACTGGCCAGCAAAGCAAGCATTCACCGGGATACGCTTACGCTCAATGGACTTGATGACTGTGGTGGTGAACTGACCGAGTGAGTCTGGCCCCACTATGACCGAGTCTCCGGCATGAATGACACCGGATTTGACCACGCCCGCGACAACTGTACCCACGTGAGGAACAGAGAATGTGTCATTGATCAGGAACTCGAAGGCTCCATCGGGGTCATATTGACCGCGATGCGGCAGGATGTTTAGGAAGGTCCGTACTAAGTCGAGGTTCTCTCCTGTGACATTGGACACTTGGAAGATAGGACATATCCGCTGGCTGACAAATTGCGTGGCCGTATTAATGGTCTCCTCCATGTTCTTGACGAATATTGGAATCTTGTGCGCGCCAGGCGATTTCAGAATCTTGGTCAGCTGGGACAAGGTCTCCTGCAGGATATTTGGCGGGCAGATGTCAATCTTGGTGACAATGACCATGACAGGCACATTGAGGGCCAAAGCGATACCTAGGTGCTCCTTGCTCATTCCGATAAGACCGTTGTTGGCGGCGACCATCAGCAAGCAGTAGTTGGGACTGCTGCTCAACATACCGAAGACAGTGGTGCGCAGATACCGTTCGTGACCTGCCAGGTCGGAGAATGAAATGACCTTAGCAGAGCGCTTGCCGATTTCTTCCCAGGAGAGCTTCCGGCCTTGCGAATTGCCAACTATTTCACCTCGGCTGTCGAAGCCCATGATCTCCAACCCGACGGAGCTGGTACGCCCGCTTTCGATCTCGTGCTTGTGGCGGAATAGATTTATTCGCGCACGACCACGTCCATCGTCAAGACCGCCTTTCACCAGCACTCCCAGCGTGGTGCTCTTTCCAGCATCGACATTCCCCACTACGGCAATCCGGAGCTCCGCCATCTCCTCGATGGTATCAGGGTGATGGCGCACGAGGACCTTGCCCCAAGCACCATGTACTCGGCCATGCGTGACAGGTGATTCTTCAGGGCCTCCGACGTTGTAGGTCAGTAATACTCGGCAGTGGGCGGGGATGGTCTCGGCCGCCTCGCGCAGGCGCTGCAGCGCCGTCTTCCATTGATCGAGGTCGAAGCCCATGGATTCACCACCATCCTCCAACCCAAGATCGAAGATGGTCTCCCCATGGCCTTCATCAATGCGTGTTTGTAATGTCCCAGCTAGCACTTGCAGGCTGTCTTCGACGGCATCGCCTGTACCGAGTAGGAGCTCCTTCAGCTTGGCCGCGTGGGGGGCATCGGAGAGCCCTAGCTGATCAAGAATGTCGAGCTCTGCATGATCCTCTAGATCGCGCGACACACTGGCGGTGGAATATCCGCTGTCGCTGGGTGCGACTTGGCCGGAGCGGTGGGCTTGCTGTTTATCGGCATACTCGGCGAATTCACTGAGAGCCTAATTTGAAGAACATAAGATGAGGAACTTATCACATATTCCCTGGAGACACATACCACTTCACCTCGTTTTCGCTCCTCGTAGCTTAGTTTCCCGGTTGGAGGCATTGTGTGGAGTTGAGAAGTTCAACCGTCGACTGATCGCGGTGCCGCCTTTTGGGGTAGTGACGTTATTGGTCGGTGGATCGGGCCACCGTTACTGTTAATATGAAGTTGAAGTGTTATTCGAGTGATCATCGCTCTCTTTTGCTCAATGAACAAAAGATAAAAAAGAGACTGAAGTAAATATTTGAAGTATTCCGGTTGAGAGTACAAGGTACAAAGGGGCATGGGGGGAGCTTTATCGATAAGTCGGAGTCATCAGTTGAGTCATCGACCGCCCAGGCAGACCTCAGGGCTCACCAGTGACTCTATAAATCTACTAGGAAGAATGTCGAAACATATGGAATACTCAGCCTCCTCTAGCTTCCAAGGATATATATCTAACTATATCCAACGGGACTAGTATGGATGATCATAAACCGATTTCCATGGTATCGTTACCTATCTATGTTGACTGCATTTTGTGGTATCTCGTGTCCTTCCTAGTATTGTTCCCGTCGCTGGACGCCGTGCTCTATATCAAGGGCATATCAGGCTCGTCATGCCTGGGGAGAGATCAAAACGACAGAGTCTCCTAGGTAGGAGTCAGCAACCCACTCAAGATATTCCATAATTGCTCCGACTCACCTCGCACGAAAAGCATCTCTTCTTGCTTCTTGATTGTCTGTATCCGATAACCCAGATTAGCCTACGCCCGTGTAAACTTCCCTGATTCATATGATCCCATACCCGCAAAGTCTCCTCTTCGTTCTCATCCTCTTCCACCACGTAGATTGTCTCCTCCACATCGCCGAGGACTAGGTTACAGTGACTGTCGTAGGCCTGTATACACATATCATAGTCAGTAGTTATTCTGAAGATTGCAAGGTGGGGGTAGCTTACGTGAAGGCGGCCCTTGAGTTCCCGGTCGCCGCGCAGCTTCACGAACACGGTCTCATCGAGGGAGAGACGAACGAGATCCAGGGGCTCTGAGACGGATGGACCGCCGGTATCTTCGTTGTCGGCCATGATAGAAGGGTGATTGGATTTGGGTCAAGTGCCGGTCCACACGCAGAATCAACGAGCTTTGGCTGGTACCCAATGTGGCTTAGCGTGGCGCTTGGCAGAACGTGTGCTGAGTCAGCAATTACCCCGGGTTTTCTGTCTTGCAAGTATCCACACGCGATCTAGACAGCCCAGGGGTGATGTATAGAGGTGGATCAATGGAATTGGATCAATGGAATTGGATGTCTGTACATGTGCGATATAGGTAGTCGACCACATAATAACCACATGTAATAATCATAGAATCATGTAATCTGACACAGTCTCGCCTAATCATTTGTACAGGGGTCTTGTACTTATTGTGCTTAGTTTGAATCACAACTTGCATGAAGTACCCTGTCAAAAGATCCGGGGTCGAAGCGCACCTTCCCCTCATTCAAGCCCCTGGTCATTTTGTGATTTTGTGCTCTTTGTTTTCTTTTTTTTTGTTTTTTAAAGACTGATTCCTCGCTATCATTTTCCCATGCTAAGGTTCTCACTTATCGAGAAGTGCGCTTCTCGCTGGGGTGTCTCGTCTCGTCCTGGAGCCGGCATCAGAAAGCCCAGACAATTTCCCCCATACCTTCATCTCGGTCGCCCGAGGCAAATTGCTTGTGTCGTGGCATCTCCAAATACGAAGACATGGGATATTTTTGCGCAAAGAACGCGACAAACTTGCTCTCAAAATTCCATACGACAATTGACTACAACAAGTCGACAACGGACCAGCGAACTCGCTGTTCCACGTCCTGCGACTTTCGAAAAGGAAATACAAGTCCCTTTACCGGAATGGAGCTCACCCGAAGAGGAGGCGCGGTACAGGGCGAACTTCTTCCGAGTTATTGAAAACGGACAACCAAACCAAGTGAGGGAAGCCATGGCTGATCCACGGTCGGTAGAGCTAGTGGGATCGCTGCCGCCAACCGTGTTTATCGAAGCCCTGCACCTCCTCTCTCCGGCTCATTTCGTGATACCCTACCGAGATCTCCACCATACACTGCACGGGTGGGGCGTGTTGATGCTAGGACTCAAGACATTGGAAGCGGTGTTCGATGACTTTACAAGGGACTTGCTCACGATCATCCAGTATCGAACCGTGGCTGGGTATCCACCTCAACTAGCCGAGTACACTCACCTCTTCGACTGTGCTCAGGCGATGGGAAATGGCCCCCTCGTCAATGCCCTTTGGGATGGGATGCATGCCAACAATGTCGCTCCCGACACAGCGTGCTATAATCACTATATGGCAGGATTGGTCTGGAACCATTGTTATGTGGGAAAAGAAGCATACAATACTCGCATCATCCCTCACAGCTACAAAAAGCGCCGCATGGTAGATCCGAATCCTGGATGGCGTGGCTTTGCAACGGCGTGGAACAGTGTCAAAGGAACAGTGCTGGATATATTCAGTCAAATGAGCCAGGACGGGCTTACTGGGGACGAGCAGACATACATTAACATCCTCCTCGCAGCGGCCAGAGTTGGCGACAGGGAAGCTACCAAAAATATCCTCAAGACTGTATGGAATGTTGATGTTGATGTCCTCTTGACTGAGAGGGACGACTCAATGCTGCCGCCGGTTACGCCCTATGAGACTTGGTCCGGTCTGTACCCAACCGAGCGTCTTCTTTTCGCCGTTGCTCATGCCTTTGGCACAAACAACGACATATACGCCGCCACGAGAACAGTCGACTTCATGGCCTCCTCGTACAACATCACCATTTCAGCTAAGGTCTGGTCCGAGTTGCTTGAAAGGACATTTACTCTCTCCAAAGAACACAAGCGGAGACAGGCAGAAGATGGGCGAACGGGCAAAGTGCCAAGAGACATGGTCCGCGAGATGTTTCAGGTATTGACGACGAAGCCGTACAATGTTCCTGCGACTCTGCAAATGTACCGATATATGACCCAAACCAACAAACTGGACGGCGACCTGGAGGCCTGCAAAACAGACATGCGTAAGGCATATGACGTCTTGAGCCAAACGAGGGCAAAAAGGAAGGAAGCGAGAGATTTGGTTGTGCAATATCTGCAGCCAGTATTGGGCAGCATGAGACCACCGGCGAACGATGCGAAGAAAGTGCGGGATCCAATCAAGTATCAACGAGAGAATGGCGTGAAACCAGACCTGTCACTACTACGGTGTCCCCTGCTCGCCGAAGCCATCAACACATACGATCTTCTCCGGCTCGAAGTCTTCCAGCAAATTTATCAAATGCAACGCATAGCCTATTCAATGATCATCACAAAGAGGTGGAACGACATATCACCCAAAGCCTGGGAGCTTCAAGAACGGCCTAAGCTATTGGAAGAATGGAAAGACTTCCTGCCAGAGCGTAATAGGTACGAATATAGAGACGGAGATGTTGGAACAGTCGATTTCCAAGGCCAAACGAATTCCAAGAGCCGCCACATGAGCCTGCATGGCCGCATTCATGCGCGGCGGATCCCAAATGGGTCGGAACTGTTCCATCCGGTTGAGCCCAAAGTTCTCGATGACAGGATATTCTGGGAAATCTTGCTTTATGAATACCCCCAGCTGGACCCGTCCATTTCGCCGCTCAATCGCATCTACTCCTTCCAGGTCAAGCACACCAAAGAATTAAAGGAAAAGCTCAAAAGGCTCAAGACGCGGGTTGATTACCCCGAAGATCATCCTTTGTCGCAAGAGAACAACCCTTCTGGCGGGTTTTATGGTCGCATTCATGCCCTGGGCTTTGATGCTAAACCCCAGAATTCTATCTTCTGGCGGGATAGCAATCCTTGGTGTTGATCGGGGCTTTTCTTTTGTATCGTTTGAAGCATTTGCGCTTGATGTCCACCATTCATGATATCCAATTGTACAATTTCATCTGCAGTACGATTATTCACTTCGTCTTTTTTTGGTGTCTGGACTTTTTCCGTACTAAAGGACATGTATGTCCATCATGAAGGCTCTCGAGACATGAGCTGCGTAAGCCAAGTAGTAGGTATGAGTATACAAGAAGGCACCTAGGCCTTGAGAAATCATATGCAGACATGAAGCGTGATATATCGATGCGGGCAAAGGGCGATCGGCCAAATGATACAAGATCTGAGCAGATAGGAAGCTAGCTCTTCATTCAGAGCATAACAATTCCAAAACAGGAACAAGGAAAGGACTGTCACCTAGACCTTCTCCCGCTGAAGGTCATTGACAGTCATATATCTCCCAATAGTGATCCAGCCCCACCGGAACCAAACCATCTGACTCTTATGACAGACGACCATAGCAGACTGCGCAGTCAACCACTCATTTATCGAGCTAACAAACAGCAGCCGCGCAGGACCAACCTCAGCCCGCGCACCCTTCTTCTTCGAGCCCGTCAACCCAGCAACGAGGTTACTCCAGACACCAAGGAACATGGAAAGCGGCGCATCAAGCACACCCGCGTACTTGCGGAACAGCGACGTCGTGGTAAGGGTATACAGCGTAACCGGACAAGTAAATCCAGGCTTATCATTCATCAACGTGCGGACGAAGTTCACAGCGCCGTAGTACAAAGAGCGGTGGTTAGGATGATTACTGATACCATGCTTGTCGAATGTGATAATGACATCGATAGTAGCGGCAGGGGCCTTATTACGATCGACACGCTTGCCGGGCAGCTTCTTCTGGGCCGCCATTTCCGGCGCGAAAGCCGAGGCCAGCAGCGACGAGATCTGCTCCTCGTCCCAGTTCTTGTCCATTCCATCCGGGAAATGGTTCACGTCGTCGACTATGAAGACGTCCGATTCGCTGCGCAGCCCGAGGTGCTTAGCTGATTTCTGGAGCTCTTGTTTGCGCGTCTCGCCTAGGCCGTCTGCGTCGCCGGTGCTGAGACAGAGGATCTTTAGATGGTTGCCGAGCTCGGGTTTGGTGAGTGATAGCACGGTTGGCGCGAAAAACATGGCTTCGTCGTCTGGGTGTGCGATTAGGAGGCAGATGCGCTTGTTTTCGAGGCGTGGGAAGGACCGTGTGAAGGGTGACGAGGACGTTGAGGAGAAGGTCCAGAATATGAAGACTGCGGTTATGGCTACCGCTAACGCGGTCCAATTGAATGAGGTCGACATTGTGGTGTTCAATTGGTGTAGTTCGGATTTGCACGAGTTGTCCGGGGATTCCGGGGTTCCGCGCCTCGTTGTTCCGTTTCTTCGTGTTCCAAGTAGGATTGAGGATCGATCTAGGGTGATAATACGGTAGGTATGGTAATTGGGCCGTGATTGGTGCAATGCAGTGCTCAATTGTTATGTGGTGAAATTGTTTACCGGGTGGATCAGGGTCGACCAAAGTCAAGACATGTGTATGGTGGGGAACAGCGAATCATCCCACTCGTGTTTATACAGCGGTCAACTACTTCTGAGGAGAAGTAACAGCCAAGCCCATAGTGACGCTGAAACAATCCAAAAAAAGAACACGGTGGCCTGAGCTTGCATCCGGAATAGGGGAAGCTCAAGTGATTCCTATAACGATACCCGGAAGGGTCACGTGTCGGATTTATGCACGACGCCGCCGTATACATATACATCTTAAGAGCTCCTCCTTTTCCCCCTTAGTCAATCAGTCCAGATAGTTAACTAGCCAAATAACTATTTTTGGAGATCGCAACCGAAATCAAATGCCTCACCATTGGCAAAAGGATCTAAAAAGTAGACTGACCCCGATTCAACATGCTAAACTATACAACATAAGTTTGTTGTCGGCGCAGAGTGACGTGATTATTGCCTCAATGCATTTGCTTTCCTCTCTTCCTCTACCTCATTTTCTGTTAGCTTGCAGTCTTCGTTTTGAGTATTGACTGCGCTCCCCGGCCCTCTCGTTGATAGGTTCTAAGCCTCGATCGCCAGCCTGTCACTGTCTGTTATTTCTCATGTTGGAAGGTCTTTCTCCGCCATTTGAACCCTTCGATGTGTATATCGCCTGCACCTTCGGAGTCGGTATCTACATATCGCTTCCTTCAAGATCAGCCTAGGATGCCCAAGTGGTGATGGAATATGAATTGATGAGATGGATAGAGATCTCAAGTTAGAAGGTAAAGATTAGTGTAGCAGGCCTTAGTCTGAAGCACCACATGTAACTATAGATCAGATCAATGGAGCATCGGTGCCAGGTGACACCTATATGTCTCATTGGGAAACGCCTTGAGACTAATTCTTTCTACACTTTCCCTTGCATCAGATGCTGACTTTGCCAACAATTCAGATAATACCTCTTTCTATCAACTCTACAACATACAGTCTTCTTCTTCCTTGTAACTAGCATCTCGATTTAGTTAAGACGGCAGTCTTTCGAAACCGCCGTCCCAGATAACGGTGGAAGCTTTGCTCTTGATATTGATTCATTTCCCATAGATCGATAATGCAACGCCTGCGAATAGATGACAGAGAAGACGTTCAGACAATTGGGATATCTTACAACCCTAGAATCCACGGTCTGCCCCAGGCAAGATCTGATAAGAATTGAGATGTATATAAAAAGTCATATTTAGAGTCTATTCAAGCCACAAAAGGCTGAGACGAACAAGGATTGAACACTGAAGCTACTTTCTTTCTTCTTGGTAAGCTCCCCGTTACATCGCTTTGACCAGCAACTATAAAACCAATATATGTTTCTTTATTCTGATAGACGAGCCTGGCCCAATACCAACACATGAATTCCACACCGCCAGCCAAATCGAAGCCACTGCACTATCAGACCGGCTAACGGGCCGGGTCTCATAACAACGTCTCACTGCCAAGCTACAGGTTAGCTAATTGTTACCCCAAGAGACGACTAACTAGCCTCCAACACATAACCTAGAAAAAGTTGAAAGTACGGTTTCCGCCCCATCAACGGTGGAGCGATTGTACAGCGTATTATACATGCTCCAATTAAGCCAGGAGAAGCACCCAGGGGGGAATCTGAACCAGGGATGACAGTTACCATAGCGGGCCGCGCAGAGGTGAGGCTAAAGATCACGTTGCAACGGGCCGAGTATAAAGTTCTGAGTGGATGACCGAACAGAAATTTTCTGCTTTCCCGCGCTTGAGCGGAGCCCCGGCCATTGTCCGTGGAACTATTTTTTTTCATTCCTGTTCGTTTCAGCTCTAGTTTGCGGTTTTTAAATGGCGCGATTTATGCGGAGTCCAGGTGTTGTCGAACTCGAGCGCTTATAAAATGCAGGAAAATGGAGGTAATTGGTAAGATTGTACGATGCACATAGTTACATCGCCTCTGCTTAGGTACGTACTTATATCCACTTGGGATTATGACGAGATGGCGTTATTCCCATATGATCTATGGTTCAATGTGCGGAGCACGTTTTCTCCATGATGTGCTTTGTACCTACTCTTTCCCGACAATCGAAGGAGTGCAAATCCGGCAATTAAATGTCGAAAGAAAACAAAGCCCAAAAAAGGCGGATCATACGCCGGCGGAAACAGATCGGGGCAATCCGAGATCGCCCCGAAAGAGGCAGCTCGCCTGAGAAGCCGATGTCCCATTTAGCAGCAATTATTGGCTAGTCCATCCGACCGGCGGACGACAGCCACTGATTTGCGATCGTGATTTCTGAGCCGTGAATCAAGCATATTAACCGTAATGATCCTAGGGAAAGGAGACAGTGGAGCTACTTTATATAATGCGTTGGAATCACTAGTATATTACTACCCTAAATACTGACGGAGTACGGAGTACTCCGTAGTATTACTCAGATCAGGACCACGTTGCGTAATATATTATTATAATGCCTATTTGGGTTGATCCAGCTTGACAATGCAAATCAACCAACTGCAATGCATCAAGGGCTGACGTGCCCGGAAGTACAAGGAAGAGGAAGTGCAAGGAAGAACCGGGATGGCATCACCGCATCCGCGTCTCCGAGCCCGGTTCAAAGACAACAAATGCCATGGCGTGATCAATTCCGTCAGCTCACTACAGAGCCCTGGCGCTCCGAGGAAACATCTATGGACCCTATAATGTACTCCGTATGTATGTATGTATGTATGTTGTATGTTGTATGGCTCGAGGGTGGGCGAGTCGGGAATTCTAACCCGACGTAGCCAAACAAGCTGCAATGCTTCAAGCTCCCTGCATGCATATGGCACAACGTGTCTGTGCTACAGGCTACAGTTCCAGTGCCTGGGCACCCTGCGCGCGAGCCCGATGCTTATAGGTGAGACGTGAGCGGTTAACTCCTGATGATGTTGTTGCTGTTAGGTAATTAGTGTGCGCGGCGGGGATAGTGATTCGTCAGGGGGGCGACCTTGTGAGCACGGAGCATATCTTGACAAGTGGAAGGGCTAGAACGTTTGGGACGATCATTGTAAATCGCAGTTTTATAGATACAGTATTTTGATATTGCTTCACTTCTGTTGCTCTTGTCGAGGGAGTTCGATCTCGCAATTGCTCAGAACCCCGCAAAATGCAATCCTTGCAGTGCGGGGTAGAGGCGCACAGGATACGAGCCTGACCTCGAGAAAGGAATACGTAGCTCCGAGGCCTAGAGAAGTCTGCCCCTAACTATAGTCCACTTTTATAGATCAGACGACTACCCCTCCGTCGCATTCAGGCGGTCAACAGGAGAAAAGGGAAACGAAAAATTTTCCGGGTGGAGCTCCGCAAAGGGTCCTTTTCCATCGCGTTTGGTTGTCCAAAAACGGAAAATATGGATTTTATTTAGGGGAGCGCTAGTCGAAGATCTTCTGGAAGAGATCATGACCGGTATGGTAATGGATGTGTATGGTATTGTTCGTCATTTACCCAGGTCTGGACACTCTCCACTGCGCAGTCTATTACTGTCATTCTACGCCATCACGCCACGTGATGGCTTAGTATAGCTGGATGGATTTCAGAGTATTTATAGACAGGCGAGTATTTTCAGAAATTGGAAAGGGATGAAACATTGTGATATAGCTGCAGGAGTGTCGTCGTGGCACTTTCTGGTCAAGATACTAGGAAGTCAAAGACTCAGACACAGACACAGACACCTGATCACATCCGTCGTATAGTTAGTTGGTTAGGGCTACTATGAAGTGATTGATAATCTAAAGCCGGGGTATCCTCCAAGGTTCCCTCCTGTCATTGGTCATATTGGTCACATTGGTCACATTCGCCATAGCTAACTTTCGAGGCTGTATGTTATAGATTGAACTCGGGCAAACCCACATGCTAAAGGAAGTATACCATCAGTACTCGGTGCTCCGTATACCAAGCCGAGTAGGCCATCACTATCCGACCGGTTTAGCCGAACCGGTACATCGTAGATACGTGAGTCATTGTGCACGGTTGTCCACGGGTTCTACGCTAAGGCTGGAGCCAACCGTGGCATCATGTGCTCCCATTGACTGCCCTAATGGGGTCTAGCCTGGAATTTACTGATGTTCTTTTCTCTCTGATCGAAGCATGATACTGAGACTATCATTTGAGATGTGGGGTAGAAGTTGAGTCAGGCGATGCTAGATTTTGGGCGAGATATATGGTTATGAAGTCTATTGTATATGGGTTTAAGGTGTATTCCAACCATGGGAACATACTCGTCTAACAATGACAGTTCATGCTCTTTGTCCCGGCATCAGACCGCTACCTGAAACTATAAGATGAAATGATGTGATGGAGAGTGCATCAAAATTGCGACTTGGTTGAATAGGATGATCTCAGAATAACAAACAAATGCATCAAAATAGGACCTTGGAGGGGTAAAATCACGAATGCGGTGTATTTTTAAGTGTCATTACAGTGTATCAGTACTGTCAGACCCCACTATGACGCTATATCAAGCCCCACCGGCTGGCTTTTTTCTTTTTTTTTCTTTTTCTCATTGACTGTCCCGGTACCTGGCAAGTGGAAACAGCAATGAAAAATAAAAAATGAACGGAAAAAGAATGAAAATTCAAGTTTTGGGGTTTCATTTTTAGTTTTCCATGGGTTCAGTCCATTAGCACATGATTGTTCTTGCCATTCAAAAGCGGCACGTCGCGCACTTAACAACTTGACTTTCTTCTGCAGATCTTTTTCCTACATACTTCCAGGGACTATTATGTGTTGGATTGCCTCATCTGCTTCTCAATTATTCCATCACCGCACTGCTTCCTGAACATACAACTATCACCTCACTCTCAATTGAGGCCTCTACAACCCAGTCGCCAATATGCCGGGCCGTCTAATCCCCAACCTGATTAAGAACGCCAGTTCGCTACACTCCTCTGTCACCTCAACTCCCAATCACTCCAACTCCTCCTCGACCCTCTCCGTCAATGAGATCCCCGGACATACAAAGAAGTCAGCTCACAAGGCAGAGCGCGCACGATCTCCCGAACGCCGTCTATCATTCTCCATGGATCACTTCATTCACCCTCTCCGGGACCACAGCAAAGAGAAGCGCCGCACTTCCGGACGTGCAGGAGGTTCCAAGGAGCGCTCCAGCCATGATGCGCACCTGCCAGCGGCGAAGCTGGATGTCTTGATCGAGTCGCCACCACTGGTCTGCTATGGTCCACCTGCCAGCTCTACTGGCGCATTGTTCTCCGGACGCTTGCGCATTGCAGTCGCTGAGTTGACTGGTGGAGTCATCTTGAGCCAGTTTGATGTACGTCTCGTCTCCAAGACAACCACCAAGAAGCCTGTCTCGAATCACTGCTCCAACTGTGCTACTCGCACCGAAGAGTTGACCCAGTGGAATTTCATTACCGAGGACCTTCACCTTGATGGCGGGGATCACGACTTCCCCTTCAGCTATCTATTCCCCGGCCACCTTCCTGCTTCTTGCAATGGCGTGCTGGGTCAAGTCGAATACTTCCTTCTGGCACATGCACGGAGCGTCACCGGAGAGGATTACAACCTCAAGCTGCCTCTGGACATCAGTCGTTCTCTGCTTCCCGGGCCTGACAAGTCCTCCATCCGCATCTTTCCTCCAACCAACCTCACTGGCCGCATTGTGCTACCCTCCGTCATTTACCCTATCGGACACTTCCCCGTCGAGATGACCTTGAGCGGCGTGGTTGACAAGGGCGACAAGACCCAGACCCGCTGGCGTCTTCGAAAGATGATGTGGCGCATCGAGGAGCAACAGAAGATTGTCTCCACTGCGTGCCCGAAGCACGCCCATAAGATCGGCGGTGAAGGCAAAGGTGTTCTACACCAGGAGACTCGCGTCATCGGACACAACGAAGAGAAGACCGGCTGGAAGACCGACTTTGACACCGCTGGTGGTGAGATCACCATGCAGTTCGATGCCAACATCAACCCGGCTGCCAATGCCGTCTGCGACATGGAGGCCCCTGGCGGTCTGGAAGTCAAGCACAACCTCGTCATCGAGCTTATCGTGGCCGAGGAGTTCTGCCCTAATGGCAACACCCGCCTAATCACTCCAACCGGTGCCGCGCGCGTGCTTCGCATGCAGTTCCACCTCCACGTCACACAGCGTGGTGGTCTTGGCATTAGCTGGGACGAGGAAATGCCTCCAATCTACGAGGACGTTCCCGCCAGCCCTCCTTGTTACACCAAGCCCGATGGTACCCCCAGCTTCATTGAAGACTACAACGGCTCCCCACTTCCTGACTACGCAGACCTGGAGCGCATAGAGTCCTTGCGATTGGACAACAGTTCTACTCGCTCTTCCACCGCCTCTTCCGATCAGTCCACGCACGGCTCTACGCACGACCGGTTGCCGCGCTTCACCACTGACGACCTTGTCACCGGGGAGTCGCCTGCTCCCTCGCCTATTCCATCCCGCACCCCTTCTCGGGCCCCCTCGATTGAGTCCTCCAACCAATAAAATATCAAAAACTTGAACATGCTTAATCAGCTATCTTGATTATCGTTCTTCATTACGACTTAACGATCCCCACGATCAACTCAAAACATTTTTCAGTTACAACGCCTTGCGTTCTATCATAATTTATTGCTTTCTTTGTCTTCATGGATTTGATCCTGTTCACTTCTCACTTTCGGTCCCATCTCAACGAAGGGCCTCGTGATATCAGCGACGGAAAGAAAATCGGCCACGCAACAACAGTTGGGCCACACATGTTCCGGGTCTTGTTCCAGCCAAGTTTCATGATACCCATTCACTTTTCTCCTGTACATAATGCCTTTACATCTTTCTTCATAATCTCACCTTTGTTATACCTCTGGATACTTTCAAAATGTGTTGTAGTTCCTCCACATAAGTATTATTGCCTGGCAGAATTATAGTCATCCGGTTGCATGTTATAGAACAAAATTGCTTCAACTTGCCCATCATATTTAAAGTCAATAAATTAAATTAATTGATAATACTCTACTAGTAGTGTGCTCCATGGTAGGTATTTCTGTGGTGTTGAACTAGTGCATTTTCTATTCGAAAACAACATAACAAGTACTACAAAAAAACAGATAAAATATCAGTATAAAAGACTCAAAAAAGGCATAAATGGAAGTTGATATAGGGTTAGCATCTCTCAGCATGCATGGTGACGGAGTACTCCGTATCGGCGGCATACTTAGTAGTCTTCCTCCTGATATATCTTTGCCAGTCTCTTCTATTCGTTTTCTTTCTACCTCCTCTACCATGTCCGTTCAAGAATCTCCCCAACACTTTCGACATACCACTTTCAGAAGAAGCGTTGAGGTACTTGAATCTATTGGATTTGTGTCAGATGCTGCCAAGTGTTTCCTCTGTATCGTCTGTTCTATGACTCTACGGATCGGCGACTCGCCGGTTGCATGTTTGCAAGATAGATTGTTTGCTACATAGCTAAGTAAGATGCTCGAGGTTTGCAATGTTTGCAAAGGGTCAGCTATATCAACAGGCTGCTTCCCACTTTGCAACTTGCTTCTTCTTTCTTCATCAGTTTAATGTACTCTTTCTTCTTCAAGATCGACCTGGCATGTCACACACACCAAGCTCATTTATGACCGATACTGCAACCGCCCAGTCTAACCAGAATCCTGACGACCTCATGGCGTATGTCTCTGGGCATCTTGCCTCGCTCATGTCATCACCGTATGATAGATAGAGAAGCGCTCGCTCATATTGGGCTCGCTTCCCAAATCCAAGAAGCAATGACGGACCCAACCTTCTCCCACATCGTCGGTACCCAGACTCTCGGTTGCCGGGCCAGCGACATTGCGAAACAAATTATGCTGCTCTTCTTAACCATCAACAACTGCTTCAAAGTCATGCCAGCCAGCGTATGACTCACAAAAACAAAAGAAGAACAAGCGGCCCAGACATGAATACAGTCGAAATCCATCTATGACAGCAACTATCAACATGATGCCTCAAGATTTCCAATTTCCGGACGCCCATGTGATAGTACAGGCTGACGTCAACATCCTGGACGACCACATTTCCTTGTATAAAGGCAAGGCGTATAAGGAGCTGAGACAACCAGTGAAATCATTGGGAGATATGGGTCGGTCAACCTATGGTATCGACTGGAAAAAGTTCATCTGGACATGTAAGAGAGAATGCCCGCAGCCCGACCCGAAAGTTGACTATCTCTGGAAGCCTGGACAAGCTGATGTTATCAGAGGCCCCATCTACTCTGACATAAACAAAAGTATCGTTTGCATCCCCGAAGAGAACGTCCAAAGCGATATCAATGAGGCCTCTGTCATGCGATTGCCGTCTGGAAAGAAGGCCTCCCAGTGCGTATTCATTCAAGAGTATACTATCCGTCAGTTAGCAGAGGAAATTCGAGGCAAGATGCACTTCATCATTTTCGAAGGCACAGCACGGTCGTCCGCGATCAAGGTCTAGCACATCCACTTTCATAACTCCGAGTGCTTTGACTGCAGCCTCTTCTCTTGCATGTTTTCTTAGTAATTGTACCGATCAATGTAAATACTATTCAGTGGCTCTACTATCACTATATCAAGAGGTCTAATTGAACTGGTAGATATAAAGTACAGATTAAAGTGTCAGAGTACGGATATATTCCCTTCTATTAATAATGATACATGATTCTATTGATGCTCAATCAAGTATATACGAAAAAAGACACTCTGAAAACCACATCAAAAGCCCCGACAATCACCACCCCTTCCACGGAACCCACGTCTCCCTAACAATATCCTCATCATCAACAACATAATAAGCATAATGCATAGCAGCCGTGATACAAGCATGCTGGATATACAACAAAACCTTGTCCCCAACCGCAAACGCAGCTTCCACCTTCTCCCCATCACCAGACTTCGACCCCGTCTTCGCAACAAGCCTGCGTGTCTGATCCGACTCCGCCCACCCCAGAATGCCATGTTCCTGTGCCATCCGCACAACACTCCACTGGGGCCGATCAACGACAACCGCAAACCCGGGGAACTCGCTCGTCTCTTTCGAGAGCGCGATGGTCCCGGCGTTGATGAGCGCCTCGTTGCGATCAGGATACACGCTGCAAACATCGGCGATAATGCGCACCGCCTGCTGTGTCGGTTCTACGAGCGAGGTCGCTACTTGCTGGAGGTCGTTGGTGGGGTAGTTTCCTAGCGTCCGTGTCAGTCATTCTGTTTCAGGCAGTAGTATGGCGTTTAGCTAGTTGTCACGCATCACATACCAGCATGCAACTCTAACTCCATCCCCTCGGGCAATGCACCCTGGAGTCTTTTCACCACGTGTGCTGTGGGTGTTGACCCCACCGACACCACGATCCGTCTATCGGATTTCCCGTCTACCAACACCTTGGCGGCTTCCACTACGCCCTCGACTTCGGTCTGGAGCACTGCGGCGGCGTCATCCTCTGTGCGGCATGCATAGGAGTGTCCGGCGTGGCAGTAGAAGCCGTAGACGGTCGCCGCCGATGATGACTCGATGCGCTGGATTAATCTGGGGAGGGATGGTGAGTCTGTGACCATTCCCGCGCGCTGGGAGCCGACGTCGATCTTAATGAAGACGGGCCATGGTGCTACGGGAGAAGATGATTTGGCGGCGTAGGATTCCAGCAGATCTATCTGCTGCTCGCTGTCGACCATTAGAATGATCTTTAGAGACTTGGTTATAGTCTCGAGGAAGGGCAAGGCGCTGGCTGAGACGGGTAGACCATAGAGACACTGTCATGGTTTTAGCTGCTACTCTTTCGTTGTGAAATAGTTACTGTAACTCACCTCCTCTAGGATGCCTTCCTTTACAAGACCCAGCGCCCCCCGGATCTCGGCTAGCGTCGATGCGACGATCCGACGGTGCGTACCGTTGCCAAGCATCATGCGGGTGACCTCGATGCACTGCAGGTCCAATGCAATTAGTACATTTTCTAAAAGCTAAGACCGTATAGAAGCTGTACCTTGAGGGTCTTGACATGAGGCCGAAACTCAATTCCCAATCGTTTGACATCATCCAACAAGATCTGGGTGTTCCGCTCCAGTACCGACTTACTCAGGATGAGAGCCGGGGTGGGAAGTTCGGAGACCGGTCGGCCAATGTAGGAAGCGTGATTCTGCAGAGAATAATCCATTTTTTATAGGTTTAGTAGGAATGACAGGGGTCTCAACAGCGGATTTATATACCAGAGACGTAGTGGGGTTTATCGATAAGAGGGCGTGGGGGTATGGGGGTCGTAATTGACGGGGAGATAGCGAGGTGAGAGGAATTTGGAGGGGGAATGTTGCATTGATATTCTTCGCTGTTTGGTAATATCGTGAGGCAATTTGGATCTCATATCATGAAGCCTTATACATAATAATGTCTGCAGGAATATCGTGGAACTGTATCACAGAAACAAAATAGTTTCCCACCTTTCTTCCTTGTCAAAAGATACAGGCATTCCTCAGTTATCCATTATAGATACAGAAAAACTCGATGCATCATAATACGTTTCATCTGCTGAATGTTGGAGCTAGGGAGACTTTGGCAAAGTGGGCGTTATAGTAGCCGGCGCCTGCCTCCTTCCTCATTGAGGGCCATCATTCCGGAACCAAAATCGATTGAAAGCTCTATGCCGGTAATTAGCTTTGCAGGTACGAGATCAAATTTAGACAATCAAATAACGTTACCTGTAGGCAGTTGTGGCAAGTGACACCACAAGGGGTTTCACAAGATCGTCCATGCAAAACTTGACAAGACGCCAGACGAGGTAGAAACCGTATCCCCAGCCATCCGAAGGTGTTAATTATCTGCGGAGAATTCTCAAGTAGATACAGAATTACCTGCTCTCTGCAATGAATGTCCACGACTGTGGGAGGAGCCGTGTCTGTCGTTGCTTGAAGTGGGCTAGTTAAGATGCTTTGGGAGGTCTCAGCATAGTCCACGAAGGAAACGTAATAAGATGGCTAAGAATGACTTACTATGAGGCGACAAATATTGAGCCGAGCCCAAAGAGTGCGCAGAAAACGAGGACGAGAATCGAAGCAGTCATGGTGATGATTAGGTCGAAGGGTGAAGATGTCAAAAGGTGAAGCTCTTGTGCTCGACAAGAAATATGGGAAAGTTTAGAAGGCATATGCTCCTGCCATATCAACCTGTGTGTCGACATCGCCTGCCCAGGTGCACAGGATGGCTTAAGCACAAGACACCCGTGGATCAAAAATGGAACAAAATCCTCCTGGCAGCGTGGGATTTGTGACGCTCTGATATTCGAATGCTCTATCTTGCTTGAGGGTAGGATTAGGTTCGCCTAGTTACCTATGTGGATTTCATGATCTTCTTGTTTGATTCAAGTCTAAAGCTACATAGTCTGTCTTTACACTGAGAGCTAGTGGGCTAGTAGAAACAATCAATTCAAGTCAATCGTTGTGATGAGTGATATCAATAACATCTCGGTCAACCTTCTCCTTCTATTGATCACTCTGGTTTCTGCTTCCTCATGAATGGTGCCTTAGCCAGGGCATTTGCCTGTGTCTTCCAAATTGCCTTTCCCAACTTCACAAGTTCCGGCCCAAAGTCCTCAAGCAATGTTTCTACCGATGTGTCTTCGTCCAAGTTCACCTTGCCGTACTCTTCATCCGAGCCAAACGTTGCAATCCGCCATATTCTCTTCCACCGCTTGACCGCTTCAACGGCCTCCGGGTTCTGGCTGTCAACGTTGGTTGCGACCATGTAAAAAGACGATCTTTTGGCGTGACCGCTCTTTGGCTTGAAAAGCCGAACCCACGAGATCTTTCTGAACATCCAAATGAGATTGACAGTGTTCCAAGCCTCAAGTCTGTGAAGAAGGACGATCATAGTGCCACCAAGTCTAAGGTGCTGGAGACCCAGAGCAAGCTGCGTGATGATCAGTCTCGTTGCTTCTCGGGTTTCTCGAAAAGGGGGCCGTAAATGTTGCCTCAAGACCTGACCATCACATATGACCAAATCGAAAAGCATCCCTTCCTCAAGTTGCCGGGGCAAAAATTTCTCATCTTCATGGCCCTCGGGGATCTGATCCATATCCATATCCGCAGCAAGCATTGTCACATCGAGAAATACCCGCTTGGCATCCAAGTCGCTTGCCAGGATACTTTTATAGCCTCCACTGGAGACAGGCAAGCTGAAAGCCAGAGCGTGTGAGCCCGGGTTCTTTCTCAAGGCAACTTCGAGGAATGCACCGGGGGCCATGCACATGTCGAGAATGGCAGGTGAGGTTGAATCAACCCGTTGGGCTTTGAAGGCATTGGTGGCCTTGTCAATTTCGCGTCCGATTGCTCTCATAAACTTATGAAAGTAGGTAGCCGATTTTTTGTCGGATTTATCGGCATTTTGACGAAGTTTCGCAAAGTATTGATCGCCTTCGGGGGATTCCCATCCCTGTTAGCAGCGTATGAGAATCATATACGTATAATATCAGAGTTCGGCGTGACTAGCCTTCTGTCTCAAATCACTGAGTTCTCGGAACTCTGGACTATTTTCTAATAAGTAGGGCACAACAGATCTGCCCTTCTCGGTACGATCTTCTGCGGGGTCCTCAGTTGGCTGAGGGTCGTTGGGCTGGCTATCAGGCAGGAGAGCAGAGGCTTCTACCTGTGCTTGGATTTCCGCCATGATTTGGTAAGTAGACCGAAGGTTATTCGCACAAAGGGCCCGATGTCTCTGATAACAGGATGTGTTGTGAGAACAGAAAGAACAAAAACCAAGCTGAATGGTTTATATACGTAATGTCTTCATGCGAGGTGGCGTACTTTCTATTGTTTGATCCGTTGTTTGTCTGCATGATGTTTGACACACACCATCAGATTGTCTCTAGAATATACTAGAGAGGACAGGGATCCATTTCTTTTGTTCTTATTTCCTAGAAACATAAATCTTATACAGGTGCTTTAATAAAATCACATCCATGGACTTTTTACATAAAAGCCCTCACATGGTTTCGATTAGAACAAAATATCTTCTACTTAGCTCGATAGAGATGGTATATAAGACAATAATATGACTGGTGGAGTCTGGCAAAAAGTCATGCCCAACCAACCAGCATCACATGCCTAGTGGCCGACTAACCTGGGACTTTACTCATGTCGATCCGTGAGACAATATCGACTAGGGCTACGAAAACTCTTTAGTTTCAATTCCATTCATCAAGTCATTTGTGTTTTTATCTGTTTTTGTGTAGAGATCTCATGATTCACATTGAAGAAGAGCAAAGACAAAGGAGAGTTGACAACAAGGAAAGCCGTGATTGAAAGACGCTAAAGATGATGAGACAAGGATATTTCCAACTCCAAAATGAAACTCCAAGCATGTTATACATGATAAAAATGCCCTCGCATGGGACTCCGACTATGCAGTAATAGGGAATGGGAAATGAAAAATGAAAGTTCGCCATGCTGTATGGATGCGCTTAAGAAATAGGGAAG